AAATCGTTCTTCGGAAAGGAGCGTTGTCCCGGGTATAGGGCTGACAGCACGACCACCCCTCCACGATAAGCATCTCCTCCCTGTCACAGCCGCGGGGAGAAGGAGATGGCCGCCAAGCCAGGGGGCGACCTTGGGCTATTTCAGTTGATACCCTACCCGCCTGCAGGAACACCGACCGACTAAGAAGTCCTTTTCCGTTCCGTGATGTTCATTGTTCTTTCTCGCCTCATCGGCCAGAGTATTGCTGTAGGAACTTGGAAATCACGATGAATGGAAAGGGAGATCAATTGGATGGACTATCTTTGAGATACAGATGGCCATGCATCACCTCCTTCTCTGCCATCGTCGCACTATATATGCCATGGATGATAGGATCCTTTACGTGGTTTGGACAGGCGAGAAGGCGCGAAGGAAGAAAAAGTCACCCATTGATTTGAGTTAGGCATGTGATATTTGACGGGCCCCTGATAGAGGCTGAGGTCCCCTCTCATACTACATCCCTCCGCTTGCGACCTCCTCAAAAGGAAACTATGGAAACAAGATGCCGTCCACGCATCCCGTTGAGCATAAATATGAATTCTTCGTTGTTAGAGGTTTCGATATACAGTTGTTAGAGCATTTGGCGCCTACACTAGCGAATTCTCAAACGTGCACATGTCGGCCTACACCAGAGCAGAAGAAGACAGACATTTATCAACCAACTCTGTGAATGAGCAAGGGTTCGCGTACAGGCAGACGGCCCTCACGACGGCTTTTCGTTGGGTCTTCTGCTTACCTACCTACAGTAAGCTGTATCTATCTACCTCTGGGCATCCAAGATCGATTCTTCTTCACTTGCATCGAGCAAAAGTCACTGGCGTGCATCTCGTCCGGCATGTCGAGTGTCATTGGCTCTACTTGTAGGCCATGGGCTCTTGAACACAATATCGCCCAAAACCCAAGTCCTCGAGCACAACACACCTAGAACCTTGTCGGCAAGCTCCCTTGCCATCAATGCCTGTCCTGTTGATGGATGCAAGCTACAAGTAGTAGCGGCGGTGGAGCCTGCTCTGGTGGCGAGCTAGCAGCAATTGACGACTCACGCAACTCGACAGCATTGAACTATTACCAAAACATCGGCCCAGCTTGGATGGGTCAATCAACACTTCTAGGCTCACTGTGCTCGGTGTTGGGGCCCCGCTGCAGGCCATAGACAGCTGCAAGTCAACGGCCTCGTGATCGTTTGAATTTTTTTCCTACCCATTTTTATCTCCGTACTATTACCCCTCACCCCACACACCCACTTTGAGAACCCTAAATTCGTTCCTCTCATGCCCCCTTGACCTTGGATTACGTCGTATCTCAGTGATTGGATCTACATACCATATACAGAGAGCCGGCACTTTTCCTCAATGGTTAGAGAAGGGCCTGCGTTGCCCTAACAGGAAGGGCTTGTCCCCTCTCGGCATGGACTACAAAGTTGGGGCTCAAGGTGACTGGCGTTCTGGATGCGTCAAAAAACAAAGGGAAAAAAGTCCAACCTGGTTCTTGTTACTTGTCTGTTGCATGAGCAGATAGCAAGACACGATTCCAATGCTTCTTTCTTTGGCTCCCTCGGTTGCCCTCCCATCCTCCCTGTCCCTGTCCCTGTCGGGCTAGGGGACTGGCTAATAGGAGAAACGGCTTGTGCAGACGGGAGGAAAGGGTATTGGCTCCCTTTTGGATCCTCAAACCCTGATACAAGTGTGATAGGATACTGGGGTCAACTGGATTGATCAATCTCTCTGCAACAGTGCCTGAAAATACCCCGATCTAGCCCGATGCACTCGTGTTCCTGACGAATCTGGAATTGGTAGAGCAGCAGGAGAACAGGCGCGTGACTGATTGGCTCAACGTTCGGGGTCGGGCGACGGTTCTGGCTTTGCTCGCTGGGAAGAACAGCGGAGCTTGGCCTGTGGGTCGAAACGAGGTATCTTTGAAGTTGTGAGCGGAATGTGAGCAGAAACATGCACGCCGCCGTCTTTCTTTGGCCGACGTTGTTTCCTATGGCTAGATGTAGATGTCGGAGTGTCAGGCGAATGGAGGAGCGTCTACTGGTCACTTTTCACTCCCGAGCCAGTTCAATTTTGCTCGCCGGTTGAAGATGAATGCCTGAGCCTGAGCCTGAGCCTGAGCCTGAACCCGAGCAGACTTCATGTTGTATCACACTCTCTGGTCTTTGGGACGCTTTCTTCTCCCATTTTCTTTATTCTCGCTTCTCATTTTCTGGCGAGCCTTACACCTATTGGGGGTGTTGAGCCAAAAAGGATTTCAAAAGAACCTTGATTGATATCACTCCTTTCTCCTTCCTTTCGTTCCCGAACCTTCTCGAAAGTGATGTTCTGGGCTGAGATCTTGCCCGGCACGTCAGTTGAAGAGGCCAATCAAGTTGAACTAAGGTGCTGGTGGGTTTCTCCCAAGCAGCCGGAATATCTCGGCGTCACGTCCCACTCAGTCCTTGACCTTTCCCTTCACCAGTGGGCGAGTGGCACCATTCACAACGTTGGGAGCTCCCTGATGCGCTTCGAAAGGGTAGAGGGGCACCTCTTGGCGTCGTCTATCCCTCGCTATGATTCGCGATTCGCGATTCGTTACCCGCGATCTGTTTTTTATCTCTTCCTTCCTTCACTTGATATGTTTTTAGCACAAGGTCGATCAAAGGCCGGCCCCTGTACGATGACGTGGTGAACCCTATCTGTTTGCCCCTGAAACCCACTCGGGGCCTAAAGCTCAGGATGCCCAGCCGGTCAATCGGCACAGCTTCTCGAGCTTCGACGGGGAAGGTTGGGCCTTTCTCGAGGCCCATCGCACCGTCTTTGAATCAATGGCTCGAATTCGGAGGGTGCCCATTGAGCATCGAGAAGCCGCATTTAAAGGGGCTAATGGAGTTGTGGGATGGATTCAAGCTTCCCCTTTTTCACGTCTCGCTTATTTTTATATTTTTGCGCCAGGCCATTTTCACTTTGATGCGACCAGTTCGAGAGCCCGCCAAGCCCCAATGTTCCCGGGCCGTTTTTTCCAGCACTGCATGTCGCACGAGGTGAAGGGAAAGCTATTCGAGGAAATCCTCGCAGCTCAATGAATTCGGAAGGCCCTTATCACTGGTCTATCCATCCAATGCTTTCAAAAACCCACAGTGCCGGTAGCGTCGCTGTTGAAACGAGACTCGCTGTTGACACATTCCTGTAGAGCGGGGAAGCAAGTTGAGTACATGTAATCCGCGCGGTCTAAACACACTCAATATATGGGTAGCGTATCTGGACATCATCTCAGGAGGCCCTTAACACACCTTGAACAAACTCATGGCGTGCTTGCCCATGCGGTTTGACCATTTCCTGGACGTCGATTGCTCGCTGGAGGTGCTTGCATCCAACATCAGCTGACAGGGGATCTCGAAACCAACTAGACGCTCATGCGATGCACCTTTGCAGGAAATATGCCGCCCCATCTCGCGGGGCACTTTGGCTGTTCAGAACGATAAATGTTTGTTGAGGCCTATTGACGAACACAGAGAGGGGAAACATCTATAGATCTGTTTCTTTCAGTAGTCCTGCCCCCTTGCCTCCGGAGTATTTATGTGTGACACTGTCCGGCCCTCTCCTTCGGCCTCCACCCAAAAGGCAGTCTGTTCTGGTGTTCTTCTTCTCACGAATCCAATCGGGAGCACGGGGTGTTCTAAGTGGAGTGATAGCTCCCCAGCTTGCCTCGAGCATAAGTCAAAGCTTCGGCCCGGCCTGGTTTTTGATTTGAGGATTGGCCTTTTGCTGTCCTGCGCATTGCTGTCCGGCGGCATTGTCGCCCCCAACGCGCTGATGGATGGGTGCATGTTCAAAGGCAGCATCCTGGTGCCCATTTCTTTCCCATTCGAGCGACCCGCAGTACCGTGACCTTTGGTCCCAGGCCCCTCTACCCGGCAGGATGTTACACTCAGCGCCTCGCGACGAGTCGGATGGCAGATAACAACACAGGCGCATTTCACCGGCATCTCTTCTTGCCCATGCCATGTGGTGCGCGCGGTGCAGTCTTGCCAAAGCTACCTCGAACGGGCGTGGGTCGTCATGAATCGTAACAAGTTCAATTCTATTCTTCTTAGGGGAGTTCGAGACTCGTCAGACTCTCGTCAGCGATATATAATGTAGAAGTCGGGCACTCTCGCGTGTGTGTCGTCATTGGCCCCTGTGGGTCGTCAAGCCCTAGGGAGTGGGAGGGAGGCCACCCGCATCATCCAAGAACTCCGGCATGGTGGTCGAACTCCTGCCGACGCCCGCAATGCGGTCGCGAGAAGAACCCTGTCCCGTCTTATCGAGGCAGCTCTCGAGTACATGCTGGCCTCGAGCGAGAGGGCCTGAGGAAATTCGACTCTAGAGGACTTGCTTCAGAACGGGAACAGTAGTGATACGCTTTCGACCCTCCCCTCTGCCCTTCCCATCCCTCGCCATCGCCCAGTGAACCCCCGATCCTCTACAGAAAGCTCTTACGTATGCAATACTCTCTCCTAAAGGAAAAGGAAAAACAAAAATGTACGACGAGAGCCTCAACAACACAACAAAATGCACGAGATGCAGCGCCTATCCGGCACAAGCCTGGTGGGAAAAGGGGCAAGGGTAGTCGATCCATTAGATGCGTTGTTGGGCTACACTACTTGTATTTAACAGCTCTACCCAAAATCTTCTGTCAGGGTCCCACTTCCTGTTCCAAATTTGGGGGAGCCAGACAAGCAGGCCAAGCGAAGTGAAAGAAGTTCAAAGGCCAAGATCCAAGGCAACTCAGCAGTATTGTTCTTTCCAACATTGAACCCCGCAGTTGCAAGGATTGGAGAGTGGGCACAGTGTGCGACCAAATGTTACGGGATCAATAACGTCGTGCACACAGCCAATGGGCGAGGGCCGTGACGGTTTGGCCTCATTGTGTTACCCCGGTCGCTTAGGATCCATTGGCATATAAATCAAAAAAGAGCGGAGAAAGTCAGCTTCAAACAACAAGCACGAATGGTTCAGGGGTAGAATACTTGCTTCCCAAGCAAGTGATCCGAGTTCGAGTCTCGGTTCGTGCATTTCTTTTCATGTTTTTGTATTTTATTTTTATCCCTTTCGCCCCTCGAGCATTCAGCAGTGAAATGACCCAAGGCTGGTGACGAGGATGAGCCCTAAAGGCGAGGTGATTCTGGCACGCGAGAGAGGCTCAGGCTATCACTGCATCCATTGTAGTGAAGATCCTTTGTTCTTCGCACAAAGGCAGGCTCGCTTATTAACGCCACCCTTTCTCCCCCTTGACTTGCTTGTCTTTCTTTTTATTTATTTATCTTATCAATAACCTAAATACTACAGAGTGGGGTGTCGACCTCACGTCATGACTTCAAATGGGAAACAATGACCATGCTGGATCTTGGGTGGCGACTTCGCCATCACACCGCTTGACCCCTCGCTGATTATGTTTTGCCGACAATCTTCCACAGTGGAAGGTGGAGGAATCAAGCTTGCCCCACCATTTCCTCTATCCAGCCTTAGAGACAGCTGGAGCTCGTGAAGTTGAAGCGACGTTCCCGCCACATGCATGGTTGTAAGAGCAAAGAGGGCGAGTAAATTTGAAAACTACTGTTGGCAACAAAGTCAAGAGCGAACCCAGCCGCTGCGCAGGTCAATCCTTTGAATATCCTCTTTTCCGCCGGACGAACCCCAAACACGAGGATCATCCCTGCGACGATGAGCACCAACATCCAAAAGACAGTCGCAAGACTGCAAGAGAAGATTGAAGAGGGGCAATACTACGAGGCTCAACAACAAACAAGGGTTGTAGCCGCCCGGTACATCAAAAGCCAAAAATGGGACTCGGCCATCGATATCATATTCAATGTCTCCAAGGCACTTCTCAAAGCAGGCCAGGGAGGCAGCAGCGGTGACTTGTGCAACCTGCTGGTGGAAGTCTACGAGAAGGCGGAGCTCGCGCCGGACGCAAATTCCAAGGGAAGGCTATTGACCTGCGTCAGGTTGTTCGATAGCGAGGAGCCGACCAGAAAGAAGTTTATTGGTGCGATGATCGGGTAGGTTTCAAGACGTCCTTTTTCTTGAGAAATCACGCGCCATGTGGCTAGGAATTTCAGAGGAGCTAACTGCTTTAATCCTCACTCTCTCGGAATAGATGGTCTAGCAAGTTTGGCGAATTCCCAGCTGGCGATCCGGAGCTTCATCATGTCGTGGGATCTATATTTGCGGAAGAGCACGAGGCATACGACGCCGAGCGGCACCTGGTTCTGGGTACAAAGGACTCGCCCGAGGTCTTGGCCCGGATGGAATACAAGTGGTACAAAGAGGGGGACCCTCACCTGGCCGCCCAATACGTCGCCCGCGCCGTCATTCCCTATCTCCTCATCGGCAACGTGCGCGCTGCCAACGCCGCTTTCCGCATCTTTACCACGGCGCTATGCGAAGACAACAAGGGCCTTTCGGTGCAGGACGTCAGCAGCCAGAACTGCGACGTGAAAATCTACCCCAGCCTGCCCCTGCTCAACTTCCTCTCGCTTCTTATACTGGCCCTGCAGCGAGGCAGCTTGGACCTCTATAGGCAACTCATCACCAAGTACTCGGCGCATCTCAAGGAAAACGCCACTTGGTTCGATTGCCTCGACGCCATTGCGGAGATGTACTTTGGAGTGAAGAAGCAGAGGCAGACCAACCCCTTGTTTGATATGATGGGTAGCCTGTTTGGGGGTGGCGGCGGCGGTAGCTCTCAGCCGGCGAGGAGGCCGGCGGCCAACCGGGTCGAGGCGCCCGCTCCCGAAGGACTTGATTGAACGCCATCGAGCACACCACTCCCTTGTTACAGGCTTTGGTCGGAGTCGGCGGCGGCCATGTAGCATGTATATAATACCCGTGGTGGTTTTTGAGGATAAGATCTGAAGAAGAAGAAAAAAAGAAATTCCGCTTTTGGAAGACCCCGCCGGCGCAAGGCTGTGTGCTTGTTTCGCTCTCGTAGTTGGTGGTTCAGTGACGTGTTTGTGGTTCCGCCTCGAACATCCAGTTATCATCCCCCAGTGCAACCACCTTGGATCGTAAGCTTGCCTTGACCGAGTCAAGAAGAACTAGCGAAGGGGGACGAACTTGTTAGAGAGAAAAAAGAAAGAAAAAGGACTGAAAAGACGCAAAATCGGGTTTACTACTCACCCTCGGCGTCTTCAGGCAGCATGGGCTGATTCATTTGGTAGAGCCTCACTGCATTCGCGAGTCTTTTCTTCTCCTCTAGATTTAGAATTCTCGGGTTAGTATGATGTATGGTAGGGGTGGGAGACGAAGATCCCTCTAGTCCACTGAGATTTCTAGCCAGGAGCAGGCACGGGGAACAGAGCCACTCACTCTCCATCTCCTCCTTCTCGTCCACATATTGCCCCTCGTCACCTTCCCCCTCGTCTTCCATCGCCAACGCAATGGGGTCCTCCCCGCCCGCCTCTAGCTCATCCTGCTTGTCCCGGATAACAATCTCATCCGAGTCAGAGAGCACGTCTACGCAGCTATCGAGCCGCAACGTTTCGGTCGAGGTCGAGGCCGAGGACGGCGTCGGCCGGCGCGTCAGTTGGCTTTGGAAGAGGTTCCGCCGGACGCCGGCCGTCGTCGTCGTCGTCGGCGGCGGCGGTGCGGGGACCCGGGCGCGGGCTTGCGACGGTGCGTTGGAGGGCCTCGCGGGCGTATAGGGTCGGGCATTGTGGGGTTTTCTTTTATTATTATTATTAATTATTCCTCAAGGAGAGGGAGGGAGGTGTTCGCCGTTCTAGAGGATTCGTCGCGGGTTTCTCTCTTTTGTCTTGTGGGTGTACGCAAAGGGGATAGTGGATGCAGTTCCTGCCTTTGTATTTCGGCTGAGTATTTTTCGTCGTCCCTGCTCCCAGGTTTCTACGCCTCTGGCCCCGAGTCTCAGCACGAAAAGAATGGTTCGCTCGCGGGCGCGGTCGCGGTTGGTATATAGGTCGTGATTTTTGGGAATGGTCGATCGCAAAGGCTAGCGCGCGCGAAACCACGCGAGGCGGAGATAATTTAGAGGCGGACTTAAGGGTCATCAAACTCTCGAGTCCAAGGACTACCCAACTTGAAGGGGCTCGTCCAGCCTGACTTTAGAGTCGGTAAATATGCAGTAGAACAACGTAGATGGAGCTTGTGTTTCGTTCTCGGGGATTTAAAACGTTGAAATAAATAGGTGAGCGGAATTCTGCTTATTTGTTTCCCCAGCTCCACAAGCTTATCCATTGTTATATCTAACAAAGCTTCAGCCCTTCAAGCTGCCTCGTGCTTTTCACGTAGCCGCTGCATTCTAATTCCTTTCTCACAACCGCCGTCTATCCTTTGGCTTAATCTATCCTCAAATTATACATGGTTGCTATCCTTTTTTATAGTACAAAATTTACAGTCGACCCTCCACGGACGACAATGACCCTCTTTGCCGCCCGAATATCAAAAGCCCCCTCGTTCAACTTTGCCTTGCCTTCTGCCGTCTTGAGAATTTCCGTAACAATCCACTCCTTGAGGGCATCATCCTTGAGGCTCGTGGGTGCGGGGGAATCTCGACAACGGCTCGGAGCTTGCCCTTGATTTGCACAGCGCACTTCTGGAGGCGCGGCTGGAGCATTGATAGGCTTCCATCAGGAGATGGGAACTTTTCGGAAGCGAATAGTGAACCTGACGACGACCCCAGAATGCTCCAGCACTCCTCTGAAAATGCGGGCGCAATCGGGGCCAACATTCTCACCAAGGCTGAGATAGCCGGGCGCTGAATGGCAGGACTGGCTTGGTGCTCCAAAAGGGTGTTGGTCAAGCTCATCAAATCCGAAACCACCGTGTTGAGTCCGTAGATGTCCGTATAAGAAGTCGTTACGGATTGAATTGTCTTTTGGACTTCGCGCCAAACGCGGGCGTCCACATCCCACTGCGCGAGCTCATCGGCGCTCATCGACCCCGTTTTCCCAAGCTGCTCCTCGATGAAGTCCTTGACGGGTATGGTTTTGAGGTCGTGGGGAGATTCTCAACGTAGTTGTGCAGGCGAGAAAGCCAACGGGTGATTCCAGCAATTTTTCCTCATCCCAGTTCAAGACCTCACTCACGGGGGCTTGGAAGAGGATGTGCGCCCGGGTGGCGTCGGCACCGTACTTGGCAATGAAGCCTGTCGGGTCAACGCCGTTGTGTTTCGATTTAGACATCTTCTCGTACGTCATGACTGCTTTGGCCCCCGTCGATTTGACTTTGGGCGTTTGCGGGTCCGACACATCGAGCTCATCGGGTGTAAGGAATTTCCCAGTGTCGGGATTGGAGTACGTTCGGCCCTGCACCATTCCCTGTGTGATGAGTCGGGTGAACGGCTCGGCAGTGGTCTCGGACGGTTCCTGCGGGTTAGGGAAAAGGGTGGTTGTGCTGAGGAACTTGTAGATGAACCGGGCGTAGAGCAGGTGCAGGATGGCATGTTCGATACCGCCAATATAAGTTCCGACGGGCAAATACTTTTGAGCCGCTTCCTGGGAAAAGAGCTGGTCCTTGTTGTGGGGGTCGGCGAAGCGGGCGAAATACCAACTCGAGTCCACAAACGTGTCCATCGTGTCGGTGTCTCTTTTCGCGGACTCGCCACACTTGGGGCAACTAGTAGATATCCATTCCTTTGCGCTCTCCAAGGGATTTCCAGGTTTCCCTTCTTTCCAATGATTGTCGACTTGCGGAAGTTCGACGGGGAGCTGGTCGTCGGGGACAGGAACCGCACCACAGCTTCCGCAGTGAACAATAGGGATCGGCGTGCCCCAGTACCTTTGTCGGCTGATGAGCCAATCCCTAAGCTTCCATTTTTCGACAGGGGAAGCCAGTTTGGCCGCCTCCAAGATGCCAATAAGCATCTTGCCTGCCTCCGCGGATAGTTTGCCCTTGAACGGGCCGCTAGCCTCAGTCATGACACCGTGGCCGGTAAAGGGCTCATTCGGTATGGCGGTAGTGGACTCGTCCTCTGATGCCGCGAGGACTACTCGGACTGGCTCATCATACCGATGCTCCTTCCAAAAGCATTGTCGCGAAGATCGTGAGCCGGCACTCCCATCACGGCGCCCTCGCCGTAGTCGCCAAGAACGTAGGGGCGACGTACACGGGGATCGACTCTTTAGTCGCATCCGGAGTCTGCTCGTGGTACGCCAAGGGATTGACGGCACGGATATGAGGCAGGAGGTATCCAACCTTGGAGTCTGGCGGCAGTCCGGGGATAGTATCTAGGAAAGCCTGAAGTTCCGGATCTGCCTTGGCAAGTGACTCAACAATGGGATGAGTGGATGCAAGCGCGAGATACTGAGCACCAAATAAGGTGTCGGGCCGCGTAGTGTACACCTCGATACCTGCGTGTATATCATGGCCCAAGGCCATGACAGGAAATTTGATCATCGCGCCGGTCGATTTTCCAAGCCAATTCTTCTGCATGGACAGGACTCTCTCGGGCCAAGCGCCGTCTTTCTCCAGAATGGAGAGGTCTCGAAGGAGGGCCTCTCGATACTCGGAAATTCGAAGGAACCATTGCTTAAGCTTCCGTTTCTCGACCTTGGCTCCCGATCGCCAGGAACAGCCATTGGCGTCGACTTGTTCGTTGGCCACCACGGTTTTATCCACGGGGTCATAGTTTACTTCTGCCTCAGCCTGGTAGGCAAGCCCACGCTCATGCAGCATGAGAAAGAGTTTCTGGGTATGCTTGTAAAACTCGGGATCGCATGTGGTGACTTCCTGTAGAACCAAAAAAAAAAAAAAAGAAATCAAGTCAGCTCACGAATCTTGCGCGCGAGAGGAAACGCCTGCACGAAGCCACATACCCTACTCCAATCCCAGCTCCCATTCATGTGCTCTAGCTGATCCTTCATCTTTTGTATATTGTCTTTTGTCCAGCCGGCAGGTGGAAGGCCCCGGGCCAGTGCCGCATTCTCGGCGGGCAGCCCAAAGGCGTCCCAGCCCATGGTGAGCAAGACATCGGAGCCCTGAAGCCTTTGGAAGCGGGCGACGACGTCGGCAATCGTGTATACTCGCAAGTGGCCGAGGTGGAGATTCCCCGAAGGGTAGGGAAACATGGGTAGGACGAATCGAGCGTCGGTTGTATCGGAGGAGGCTTCGGCTGGGACGATGCCCACGACTCCCGCCATTTGCGGTCGAGCGCGGGTAGATCGAGCTTTCCGGTAGCATAGAGGCGGGCATGTCGCAACGTCGTTAGGCGCGGGGTGGAGTACGCCAAAGGAAGCCGAAAGGAAGAGCGACTCGGGCTGGTGATGGATGTCAAAGCCCGGCATGCCAGCACGCGGGGGTCGCCGAAAGGCCGACCACTGGTGTTCTGACTAGCAGCTGCATTGAGACCGTACCATGGTGAGAGCACAGCTAATCTTTGTGGTTTTTAAGGATTTTGGAGGTCCGCATAAACTGCAGCGCTCCGATTCTCGGCAGTGGGAAGCAGGGGAGCAAACCGTGCACCGATGGTGAAGGTCTGGAACAGTTGTCTTGATCCGATTCGCAGGGCGCCTTTCGTCCTTTTTTTTTTTGTCGCGATGGCAGAGGTCAAGCTTCTCCGACATAGCCAAAAGCTTTGAATGCAAGGTACCAAATGTGGCAGTTACAACAGGAGCGCCACAAGGTGTATAGTTTAAAACACGAAATGGCACTGTGTATCAGTACACACGTGACGTCATGAGACTGCCCAGTGGGATAACACCGCAGATATCCTTCCTGCCTTCCTCACGCACTTGTACCATTGAGACATTGATCAATCTCCAGATGGACGGGCTGGGCTGGACAGCACTGGACTGAACAGCACTCGAGGACTGGACAGGACTGGACACCCTAAAAGGCCCTGAGACGAGACTTGAACTTAGTTCGAAAGGTCCTGTACCCAACACTCAGCCGGCACCCTCAGGTTGTATCCAGCACTGTCCCAATTGAGAGATTCCCCCACCAAAAACCCCCAGGGAAGCGCCAATGACACTTCGTCTGATGGCTTGCTTGATTACCTATCGCCCAAATCCCGAGAAAATGCCCCGCGACAGATCTGCAGGGTTTTCCCTCGCTATGACAAACGACAACAGGAAACCCCCACCAACGCGGTTCGCTGCAGTGCGGGGTGCTTTGGGGAGCAAGGTGTCGTGAGCAACCATGCCGGGTCAGAACGGTACAACTGGGCTCGTGGCTTCGTGAGGAGCAAGTCCGAAACTATAAAAAACCCTCGTTGATCTAGATGGGAAAGGCGTGGGTGTCTGGGTGTCTGGGGGAGACCGGGTATATTGCGCAAGCGTGGGAGGTCTTCCATGTTGGGGGCGAGCAAGGTCGTGACCGGCGTCTTGCGTGGGTTGGACACCAACTCCAAAGGATTTATAGATTGGTCCAACTCAGGAGTATAAATAATGGGGAAGGACGACGAAACAGGGCGGCGCCCGTCGATGCAGATATTCTCCGTCGACCTACCAAACTTCTCTCTGGGGATAAACATCTACTTAGTTGAGTATTCCGTTCTCGGGGGTTTTTAGCTGTGTCAAGTCACTCTCATCCCCCCCAAAGCTCTCCCCGGCGCAGTGCCCCAGAAAATTTTTCAGTTCTCAGGGCTCCATCCACGGACGCGGGGAGACTTAGGCGAAAGGAAGGGCCCGTGGAGACCGTGAGATTAGCACGCGCTGCGCTTTCGGCATTTCTATCTCGGCCTTGGGAGTCCAACCGCGGAGGTCCGCCATCTTTCCTTAAGACGGGACATCCCGTCACTATCTTCTGTTCTTGATCTTGTTCTCGGGGTCTTTTTTCTTTTGACTACACTACGTTAGTGGAACTGGTTAGCCGTAGTCATTTTTGTGTCTTCAATCGACTCGAGTCTCTCTTTCTTGTCAAGGATTGCCGTCCCAAGAGTTCCCTCCCGTTCCTCACATCTTTTGCCACCGAATTTAGACTTAGTATTCCCGATCCCTGAGACTGCCGAAGATTGACTTCAGTCGTTATCTAAAAAGGCCAGAGTCTGCAACCCCCAATACCGACATCGGAAACAATTTTCGCAACTTGCGTTTTCGACAGACCCCGAACAACCTAGATTCTCGGACCTTTGCTAATCGTTCAGGGACCACCTCGAGGGTTTAGCTCACATTGCATCATTCATTTTGAGAGTCGACACTCGGCGCATCGAGTTTGAACCATTTTTCAAAGCTATTTTAGTCGCTGGAGCTACTTAATAAGCCTAGTTCAAACATTTTCCCTGGAGACTTGCGAAGAAACCATATCGAACCCAACGATACGATAACAACATTTGAACCGTCTCACAACGTCGTTACCCCTCCAAACCCCGCCATCTCCCCATCAGCCCAGCCCGACAACCAAGATGGACAAAATTACCGACAAAATAGCGGCCCTGCCGCCCGACGCCTTCTACACGTCTCTCGAGTTCTTTCCTCCAAAGACCGTCATGGGCTTCTCGAACCTGCGCGACCGCCTCGACCGCATGGAGCGCGCCCTGAAGCCGCTCTTTGTGAATGTCACCTGGGGCGCCGGTGGCTCGACGGCGCAAAGTCTCTCGATCTCGCCGAGATCTGCCAACGAGAGCTGGGCCTTACCACCTGCCTTCACCTAACGTGTACGAATATGAGTCGTCGCTTACTTGATAAGGCGTTGGAGGATGCAAAGGCCCTGGGGATCCGGAACCTGCTGGCGCTGCGAGGAGACCCTCCGAGGCCGGACGAATACAAGGCCCTCGACGACGCGAGTAGCGACGAGGTTACAGACTTCGAATGGGCCACCGACCTCGTCAAGTATATCAAGGCTACTTATGGCGACTACTTCTGCATTGGCGTGGCCGCGTACCCGGAAGGGCATGCTGATGGAAGTGCGCCCCAGGGTCATAGCCTTGAAAGGGACCTCCCTACCTCGTGGAAAAGGTCCAAGCCGGAGCCGATTTCATAATAACGCAGCTGTTCTTCGACGTCGACATCTATGAAAAATTTGAAACCGCGCTCCGAGAGCACCCCAGCGGAGCCTTCAAAACCATCCCCATCATCCCCGGCCTCATGCCCATCCAGAGTTACCAAATGGTCAAGCGTACTACCAAGCTGAGCCACGCCTCCGTTCCCGACCCGATCATGGCCAGACTTGATGCCGTGAAGGGGGACGACGAAAAGGTCAAGTCTGTCGGCGTGGATATTCTGAGCGAGATCGTCGAGAACGTGAAAAAGGTCAAGGCGCGAACACCGGGACCGAGAGGTTTCCACTTTTACACCTTGAACCTCGAGAAGGCTGTATCCTTCATTTTGGAAAGATCGAAGCTTATACCCGTTTCTGACAGCGACGATGAAGACGTGGCCGTGGCAGAGACCGATGAAGCTCTTCGCAACACGATCCCCATCGTCCGTGTCAATGGTGTTAATGGCACCAACGAAGTCAATTCGAATGACGTTGCCTTGGGCAGCGCCCGCCGCCTCTCGACTGTCGGCTCAGATCCTCGCAACAGAGTCATCGTCTCTGGCGCGCAGGCTAGCCACCCCGACTACGAGGCCACGGCCGGGGAAGCGGGTATCCCTGCCGAGCCGGTCAACACACGCGCAAACACTCTCGCGATATCCGAGGGCGAAGGCGTCTTGGGCCGCGAGGCGACCTGGGACGACTTCCCCAACGGCAGATGGGGAGACGCCCGGTCCCCGCGTACGGCGAGATTGACGGCTACGGAGTGAGCCTCCACATGTCAACGACGCAAGCCATCGAACTCTGGGGCACCCCTACCTCGGTAAAAGACGTCAGCGACATCTTCCTCCGCCACCTGCAGGGGACCCTCGCCGCCATCCCCTGGAGCGAAGAAGGGCTCCTCCCGGAAACGAACGCGATCCACCAGCACCTCGTCAACCTCAACAACAAGGGCTGGTGGTCCGTCGCCTCCCAACCCGCCGTCAACGGCTTCCGCTCCTCCGACCACACGTTTGGCTGGGGTCCCGAAAACGGCTTCGTCTTTCAAAAATCCTTTGTCGAGTTCTTCTTGCCCACGGCCGACTGGAACGCCCTGCGCGCCAAGCTCCAGGACCCGGCCGTGCACGAGTCCATATGCTTCTACGCCGCCAACGTCGCCGGCGACTTTGAGAGCTCCGACGCCGCCGCCGCGTCTCCCGGCGGCAGCCTCACGCCGAGCACCAACGCCGTCACGTGGGGCGTGTTCCCGGAAGGAAATCATCACGCCCACGATTATCGAGGAAGTGAGTTTCCGCGCGTGGAGCGAGGAGGCCTTTGGGATCTGGGCCGAGTGGGCGAGGGTGTACGGAAAGGGTTCGGAGAGCGAGAAGCTGCTTGATGGGATTAGAAAGGACTATTGGCTCGTCAATATCATTCATCACGAGTTCATTGACGGGGAGGCGTTGTGGAAGCTGTTGGATTCGTAAAGCGGATATTGTGGAGGAAGATATTAGGGTTTGGTGAATAGGAAAAAAGGACAAATACCAATGACTCAAGAATGTGCTGCGTACGCTAGGTGCATGTATTTCATATTGATGCCGAGGAAGACATCCCGGTGTGGAACCTCCGATGCCAGCACTCCAGCCCGTAAGGTTCATCATCATCCTATCCCTACTCTCGTCTTTTCCACTTTTGCGAACGGCGACGACGATCCCTGGGCGATTGTCAAAGCACAAGACAATTGATCATTACCGGGGTACTTGAGTGGGAGCACAAACATATTCACAACTGCAAAGAGAAAAGACGAGGTCAGGATAACTGCATGGTATAACATTGCGTAACTTGTTTTCCGATCCAGAGCAAGGATTCCATCTGGCAAAGAGTTCGTCTTCCTTGGCGAACTTGTATTCTATCTAAAAGTGTACATCCATGGGTCCGCCCCAAATCCCCAAACCCTCCTTCTCCCCGTCGAGCTAGACCACTCCTCCGTCCAGAGACCATGTCCGGTTCAGCTCCATTTTTCTTTCTTTTTCAACGAGGTGATTTTAAAGCTGACGAGTCTGCATGTAATGAAACCGGGGGAACAGTAAAAAGGCGGGATAGTTGTAGAAATCAAGGTTGGGCGAAAAACGGATAGGAGAAAAAGGAAATAAAAGAAGCAACAGAAAAAGGTAGACAAAGGAATGCAGCGAGCAAAGGTAGGGTGGGCCTAGGCAAGCGCCATAGACCTGGTATCGTAGTTGTATTGTATATGTCTGGCCCCAAATTCTGTCGGGACTGGGGACGAGCGCCGAAGAATTAGAGTAGTGAAACAGTCGTGAGCGAAAAAACGAGAAAACGTTGCCATTGAGAGGGGAAAAGAAAAAGGGGGTGGGGATCTTCCTGATATCCATCAACGCCGTCCGTGTCGACAAAGGAGATTCGTTAAAAGAGAAAAAAAGACAGGGATTGCCCCTCGGACACTAGGGACTACCGGCTAGATCTCCGGGTCCGCATACAGGTCGTGGGCATAGACATCGGCGTCGATCTGGCCAACGTCGTGGCCAAAGTCATCGAGGCCGAGCAAGGAAGAGTCCAGGGAGTAGCTGGTGTCGAAGCTCTCGGTTCCATAAAACGAGTGCGGCTGGGTGGTGTCCTTGGAAACTGTGGTCTCGGAACCGGTGGTGTGGAACGATTCGATGGCAGGAGTAGGCGTTGGGACACAGTCGTCATCCTCCGAGGTCAGATCAACGGCAGCCACAGCAACAACAGCGGCGGAGGGCTGGGCAGGAGCCGGCTTCGCCTTTTGGCAGGGCGGGATGAAGGAGTTGGGGTGAGGTCGCGAGTCTTAGAGCCGACCCCTCCGGCTCCTCATCTTCCTCGCTCAGTTCGCGCTTCAGCGGGGTCGTGAAAGACACATTACGCGAGGCGGTCTTGGGAGTCGCGCGGGAGCGGGGCGTTGCCTTGCCGGCGGCCGAGGCACGAGACGATGGGGTAGACGGACCAAAGCTGACAGCGGTGGCGGGGTTCTTACCACCGTCAGCGGCTGCCTTGAGGCTTGCGGCGTCTTTCTTGATAGTTCGAAACTGGAACTGGATGCCGTCTGGTGTGGACTCGCCAAAGTACTTGCAAATATCTAGGGAAAAACTGTTAGCTTGGGAGGTGACGAGAGTCAACGGCACGGCGGGCCACTGGCCACATGACGCGATTCATAGGCTCAAGAAATTCCAACAAGGACAAATAGAAAAGCCCCACGAGAGATGGGGGCCGACTAGGCACATACCCGTGTCGATCTTGTTCTGATCTTTTGGGAAATTGAACTCTGTAGGCATATCTTTGGGATCAAAGCCTTGCTGTAAACCCCTGCGAATGATTTCGGCCTGTGTCTTTAAGTGACGCATACGGTGGCCGAGCTTATGCTCAGTCACGTCTGTGCCATAAGACTTCATGATCTCTAAGATCACTAAATCAGATACTGGACTGAGGGGACGTGGAGAGACTCGACCCCGAGGCATGCGGAATGGGAAGAATAGAGAAGGGCAAAGCAAATAAAGAAGAAAACGAACGAGCCCTAGGCTCAAGGAGGAACGGAAAGCAAATTGAGCAAGGGGAACCCTCCAAAGAAAACGAGACCTGCCATATTGGCGAGAACGAAGAGCATGAAAAGAGCAAGACTGGGAGGGGAAATCAGGTTTAAATGAATCTAACACATACCCTTGTAGTTCCACTTCACCTCGGGGTGAGCGGCGACGATGGCTCGCAAAAGTCGAGCCTGGACATCAAAAGTCCTAAAGTTGGTCTTGGGCGTAGTAGGCGCCATTGTGGTCTGTTTCTGGTTCAAGATTAGCGAGGGTCCCAATGTAGCACGGATTTGAGCGACTAGATTAGAGGGAGGGTGCGACGGGTTTGCCTTTATGAGTACGTTTTCTCGTGTTGATGGGGAAGAGGGGCGCGATGAAAGGTAATGTCCACTCAAGGATTGTGAGAGATGGGGATGGTGATGGGAGGAGATCCAAGGATGCACGAGATGAAGAAGGGGGCGAGAATGGGGAGGGAGATTGGTGATTTGGACTTGGTGACGAGGAAGGAGAGGAAGGAGCGGTTTGGCGCCCTCGATGTTTTAGACATCAAGCACTTCATGCACTCCATGCACACCAGGGATATGCGGGAGGGACAGGAAGGAGCGCGCGCCAGTTGGAGAAAAGACGAGGTCTCCTTGCGGGTTGGACGAGGCGAGAGTGTGATGGTTCACCAGAAAAGTCTTGACGATTTTTGTGATTTGATATCAATGAAGAGAACAACTTACGAGGCAGGAGCTGAAGAATGGCGAGGACAACCCCGATTCACGTGGAGGAGTTGAGCAGGTCCAGTTCGTCAGGCGTCGTTGGCGGGTGGAGAATGCCCCTTCGTCGCCGGGACGGACCGAAAGCGTAAAAGATGGCGCGCAACGAGGCAGGAGGAGCAATCGCTGGTCGTGAGTCGCGGGGCGCTTGCTCGTCTGAAAGATGCCACTCGGCGATGAGGGCCCGGTCGAATGTGCACAATTCCCCAACGCTCGGCCAAGGAGTGGAATTTGGCTTATGAAGAACTGGAGAATAGAGCTCGGGTCCCCTTGCTCCCAATGAATCGGGTCGCAGTCGAGGGTGGTGCGTGGATTGGAGATGGCGGCGCAGGTAGGGCCCGTGTAAGTCGAGGTACAGAGACAGCGCAGTCTAACCGCAGATGACGAGTGCTTTGTTCAAATTGCAGAGACAAGCACACACGCCCGCTTGATGGAATCGTGAAAAGGAAGACAAAAGACGACCACTCGGAAAATGAGTTGTATCGGAATGCCTATGTTTCTTTCTTTTCTTGCCTTCTTTCTTTTCTTGCCTTCTTTCTTTTCACCTCTCAAAACGTGTGAGGAGGACAATCGGGTGGTCCCCCTTGGACAAGTGGAGGGGGGTATGGGGTATGGAGTGGGCGCTGTGGTGGTTGCTTGGGAAATGGAGGTGGCTGGGATTGATTTTGCCCCTGCACCAATTCTCCACAAGAGGACTCTGGTGATTTTCTGATGAAGAGAAACTTGGTCGCGAAATCGCAAATATCACTCCAACCCGGCCTCGCTTTTCACCTTTTCGGTTTAAATTGAAAATGGGGGATCCATGTATTAAGAAGCACGTCGTGCGAAGTTTCCAGCGTCGTCGAGGCCGTCGTCGTGGAACTGCCCGGGGATAGGCTAGTCTGCTCTTGGTGGGAGCGAGGTACTCGTTAACACTTTATAACGCGCAGCTCCTGGGCTAGGAGTTGAGGATGCACATCCGACCAAGACCAAGACCCTCCCACCTCCCCCAAGTTCGAGTGGATGACAGCATCCAAAAGAATCAACCCCTGCGCCCCATGTGAGGTGCCGTTCGCCGCAACCATTGGGTGTCGTCGCAACCTCATGGCAACCGGCCAACGCAGCCGGCCAAGATTGCGCCGCCAAATTCGGACCGGCAACTCAATCGATCATTATTCTGCGCAATGGGTCCTGATAAATCCCGATGAGGCATTGACCGGATACATAGTTAGTTGCGAGGGGCGTGTTCCCGTTTAGGTTGGTTTCATTAATAGTTCTAGATGATTGATAGATATCGTACGCCGTGGATGTCCACCCCGATTACACATCCATTGTTACATACCCAGCGTCACGGCCATGTCGTTATTAGTTTTAATCCAACATGCGTGGTTCTCCCTGACCCGTAACACCAAGAAAAGAAAAGTAAGAACAACGCTGCTCTCTATACGCCATAACATGCACCCATTCATGCATCCATTCATGCTTTACAGATGGAGGGGTTTTCAAGCATAGACGAAGGGGAGGGGGAAGGGGAGGAGAATGGTAGAAAAGAAGAGAAAAGAAGAGCAAGGAAGAGAAAAGAAGAAGAAGAGGACACCGTCGATTCCCAAGGGTTGATCTGTTTCATTTCTCCCAGTTCCTGGACACCAGCAAAGAAACACATCAGCTTTCTAAAACCTTTCTCCGTTGACGCCGAATCGGCCCAAGGGGGTTGGACCATACTCTGTGGAAGACACCTTGGCCAGCCGCGACCCGCCGAGCGAGTCGGGGAGCCCTGGCATATCCTCCATGATGACGTGATCCTTGACTACTTCCGGCTTCTCCTCTCCATACATGAGGTACTGGACTCCGAGGAACGCATCGCAGCATGCCTGGAAGATGCCGCACATCTTGAACGCCAATGGATCGTGCCGCTGGCCGTGAAGAACCAAAACATCTTCATGCTGTCGCCAATAATCCAACTACCAATTACAGAGAGACGAATGCCCTTGCACGATCCTACGCTCGCGTTGGCTAGAATCTGCGGGATCGGGAGCGTAGCCTCGATCGCGAGGCCGAGGTAGCCGAGGAGAGTCGCGTAGCCCGTATACACGCTGGAAAAAGGCGAAAGCAGAAACTCGCAGACGAAGAGGGTGACGGAAAGGTAGAGCAAAAAGTTCCAGTACCTAGATCATTTGCCAAGTTCGGATTAGACTTCTTGTATGAACCCTCGATCGCCGGGCGTAGAAAGGAAAAAGGAAAAGGAAAGAGGAAAAGAGAAAGAAGAGGAACGGGTCGAGTAGGGTCGGGTAGGGTCGAGCCTGCTGCTTACGGTTTGGGCGATCGCCACTGCCAAAAGTTGTACGGTCTAGTCCAGGGCTGCGCCCATCGGGGCTCTACGGCGCCAGCAAACGGGATAGCGGCATCACCGCCCCTCGAGGACGGCGGCGGGCGGTGGTCGAGCGCAATCTTGAGCAGGACAACTTGCACAAACACCATGAGTATGGCCTGCGCCAAGAGACTCCCCTCAAAACGCGCGCTGGGCCAATACGAAATCCTAGCAGTCGCGCAAAACGTTGTTGGTTAGTCTACACGTCTATTTGAAGAAGAAGAAAAAACTAGTCAAGGCCTGGTCCCCAGCCGGCCAAGCGTCGCGCGATATGCCAGGTATAGGCCCTCCAAAGCAATGGACAAGGTTGGTAGGAAGAGGCGGTGGGGTATCGACAAACTTTAGGAACGAGGCAACCAGCATGATGAGCGGGATGTCGAGGGAAAAGCCCGCACTCGACTTGTTCCGGTGCATCGACATTGCTTGATCGCCATACGACAATATGGGCGACAAGACGATGAAAATGGGGGCGACGACCCCCGTGAGATCTGTGAACCATCCCATCCTGATTTTCTCGACACGATCGCGTCGCGCTGCGGAACCGGAGGAGCCGGGGAGTGGGCGGAGAGGAGGACACGTCGGGCGCCGGCACTGGAGGGGAAGAGCGAGGGCGAGTCGACCGAGCGAGCAGAGATGGGGTTCTCTGGCGATGCTATCGTCGTTTCATTCGCAATATGGAATTGGTCGTTGTACAATTGGGGGTCCTGGTGTCCGCTCTGGCAGTCTGGAGGGAGCTGCTGAAGATAGCTGGCTGGGGGTTTGTCGGGAAATTCTGTTGTCCGACTCGTCCTCCCATTGATGCACGGCTTGGACGGCATTCAACTTTTTTCATGTTCCTCTCCCCTGTTTATGGTCACAGTGCCTCTCTAGCGCCGGTTGCAGGGGGCCTGGACACCTGGCGGCCGAGTTATGGATCCATCCACCATGTTAGTGCAGGTGTATTAATCGTTCTCCGTTCAGTTCATGTTGCAATCAATTTGACGCTGACGTATTCCCCTCCTCCATAGGCCGAAGCCCCCACTAAATGTCAACGAATCGCTTTTTGTTGATGTCAGGCACTAAACGGGAAGCGGGACAGGCTAAAGAGTCTAGCTGGTCAAGCTGGTGTCCATTTGTGGACAAGGGGATAAGGATCGAGCTGACTTCGACTCGGATTTCGCTTCCATCATCAGTTCCCCATGGAAAATCAAAATCCATGATGAGTGAAGGCTTTGCTCCCCCTTGTTCCCGAGTGGAGTTGGGTGGGATTGAACCGTGCGATTCCGAAACAAGAGGCATTGAGACGAAGCTTCGTTGTCATCCAGGCTACAGGCTTCAAACCATAAGCTGTCTGCAAGTTTTGATGAAAAACTACCACCCTCCCCGGCACCTAAAATGACTGGAAAATTAAGATAAAAAAGGGAAACACACTCCTGAACTGCTCGAGTTTCGATTATGGTGCATAAAAGTCAAAAGCCGACATCTATCTGCCACCAAACCCTGATCCTATGCTCAAAGGGCACCGGGGTTCTCCTATCACGCTGGAAACAGCAGGCCGCCGAAGTCTTCCCATCTAATTGATCTCATCCTAACATTAGTTGATGAGCAACGTTGCTACCTTGGTACTCTAGATCTGGTCTCACAGTTCATGGCCTGGGCCAATATCAAAGAGCCTATCGTCATGTAGGCAGTACAAGATTGCCGTAACCTTAGTATCCTTTTGCCGACGACATCTTTTGATATGACCTGCGGCGGGAAGAGAGGTATCAAAAGCCTTCTCTGTTGACCCTTTGCTTTGAGCCCAGTTTCGCACGAGGGAGATATTTTTATATATGTTTGCGACATGTCCCACTATCACTAGACCGCAAGTCACCACCATCGGTGACCTTCATCATGCAGCCATTACCACCCATCGACGTGAAGATGAGGCTTTTGCAGGTGACAAGCTGGTGATCTATCTTCTTCTTTTTGACTTTTCATCCTTCGGGGAATCCATTTACTTGTGGCCATGTCGCCACTATATTCGCTTCGCAGTTCAAATACGAGCCACAATCCCCCACAATGCGCGGTGTCGCCCACCGAGACTGCCGCGGATCTATGTGTTCCACGTGTCCCGGAGCGTTTCAAACTTTACTTGTCCAGAGGACACGCTTCGTGCGACTGTCGAAACCATCCCTGGGTGGATTCCACATTTGGTCTCGATGGAATGAATGTCTAGATGATGGAGGTATTTCTCCCGGGATAACCCAAGCCTGAGAGAGGGAGAGAGAGAGAGAGAGAATTTAGAGCTTTGGCTCCGAGACAAGAGAATCTCTTTTGCTTTGGTTCTTTTCCCGTTTCCTTTTCCATTCCCTCTTCTTTCTTCAGGCTCGATGGATTGCACTACCCCCTTTTCGGAAGTCGCCCTCCCACTTCTGCGTGGCTAAGGGCAGAATGGGCAGAATGGGCAGCTGATCATTTCTTCATCCAAACAAAATACTACAGGTCGTGGAAGATGGTGGAGAGAGCAGTGATTTAGACACGCTTTCTTTCGGAGGTTTTGCCGTCGAGCTGATCGCATCTCCAATTCGGTGATCCGCGAAATTCGTCCAACCAATCAGAGAGGATTCATGCGATTGCATGTGAGCCTGACAAGGAGAGGGTGCCTTGCTACCCCTGCTTGAACAGGATCAAAGGTCTGCGGATGCGCAGAACTGTGGCTCTCCCGTCAAGGCGGGCAAGCGGGGAGGGGGGTTTCAACGTTGCACAAGTTTATTAGTGTCGGGATCTGCTTGCGAGCGGGTGGCGAGCCTGCAAGTTCCCCTCCTTGCTTTTGGGAGGGAAGATTGGAGAACCCACACGCAGATGGAGATCGGCGAAATCTCCCAGCATGAACTTTGGACTTGCAGTCGCCAGCAGGAACTGGGCGACTGAGCTTTCCTGCCATTGAACCTGCCCTCCCACCTCCCAAAACGCGAAAGGTACCCGCGTGTAAAAATACAGTGGCGACAAAAGGAGAATGCACTAGCGTTTCCCGCTCTTGCCCCTTTTCCCTTCGTTTTACATGTTGTACTTGAAGGTTTGTGGATATCTAGGGTTGAGGTATCATTCGCCAACAAAAACAAAAAAGAAGGAAAAATGGGGCAGCCAGAGTCCTGGAGTTCCTGGATCCCACCATGGAATTGAACTTTCCAGTCTCCTGCCAGCTCTCCCGACTTCCATGAGGGAGTCGTGGCTATAATCGTCAATGTGCTGCTTCCTCGCCTTATTTCGAGGTGGGTACAAAATACATGGAAAAGAGCCCCAAATTCTGCAGCGCGTCTTGTTCTTTTCAGGTACCGCCCGCTTCTGGCTCTACCACCTTCATGCGAGGCTCAACCGCGTGTGTACATCCGCCTACTTCATCCTTATCATCGGTGCTATTGCTCAAAACAGGAATGAACGGAATTGGCAAAGGGGCCGCATGTGTCTTCAGGCATGGAGAGGGGGGACCTGGCCAACTGGCTTCGTCATGGCGAGGAATCAAGGAATGGAATTGGGCCAGCAGCTCGTTCTGCGTGATGGCATGACGACTGCTCTCATTTTCTCTCGCCCAAATTCGCTGCATGCTCGTGCCTATGGGTGAGGCGATCAGAGGGTTTCCATTAGGAAACTAGCGTCTTGAAAAGAAACAACATTCCCGAGTGGTCCGGTCTTATCAGAGAAATGGTCAAAAGCCATCCAAACAATCATCTCATCTCGGTTCCAAGGAGGGTTGAGTGTTTGGAGTTCTTTGAAGCTTTGAAGGTTCGCTTGTGGACATGCCAACCGCACCCGCGGTTACAAGTCGACGTGGTGTTGGTGGTCCACTGAGACTGCCCTGCACTGCACTGCACCTGCACAGTCGGACCGCGGGTAGCGTGGATCAGTTGCAGTTGGAGGTGAGTCAAGGGTCGGCTGGAAGGCTTGTCTGTCCCTTTCGCGACTTGCAGAGATCAAAATGACAAACACCAGAGCGCGTCTAAATGGAGCCCGGATGGGTACAGGTAGGTATTATTACGTGTACGAAGTTGTTCGCGACGGCTCTCCACCGACAAACTCCTCATGGATGAACGCACAATCGGCGGAGCCGCCTTCACATCGACCCCTAAGCAGGCATACCTCTCCAGGGCAGGGCATGCATGCATGCCCCTTGGAGGAATCTCGATGGCTCTGGCCCCTGCCTAATTAATCAAGTTCTGGATAATCAATGGCATGGAAATTTTTAATAAAGCCCTGGAGCCCACTCTTTCAGGCTAACTGGTCCTCAGAGTGGATCGAAGGAAATAAAACTACCACTACCCTTTTCGGTGCCCTTCGCCAATTCCGATAATGACTTGCAGTGACTTGCAGAATGTAGGAAGAGCTGTCAGTCTAGCGGTACTCGTCGAGTACTAGGATGGCTCCAAATGCCAAGAGGGATGGATTTGAACCACCACACGTTTAGTCGGGTGGGCTCTGCGGCCACCCCTTAATTTACAGCAGCAGCAACGGGTCTGATTGGTTCATGGAGAGGCACCCAACGCTGGCCTGTGTCGATTCAGCACCAACCAACGTTGAAGTCTTCAGGCTCCACCAGCTCCAGGGGCTCTCCAGCAGTCCAGCGCCGGCAAACAGCCTCTCTCTCATCCACTCTCAGCCAGCAGCGGATACAGACCCTCTTCCACACACATGATAGAGTTTGTACTTTGTCCCTGGATCGTGTCAAGCTGTCTCAGGCAAAACTACAGACCCGACGCACCCGCTTGGGACGCCGTGGTGCGAATGTGGCATAGTGGCTCTCTCCACACGAGGGGGCTTTGGGTGAGCTGTGCTGTGCCTCGTCTCGTACCTGTAGTTCCAAGCACCAGTAGCCGCCGTAGTCCAGTCTCTCTCAGCACTATCTCAGAGTCCTAAAATCAGATACGAGAAAAGAAGAGACGGTCGGTAGAGACTTGGATGAGATTGATCCAGACCTTGGGATCTGAAATCTGGCAGCATCGCCCACCTATGGGAAAAGAATCGCACGTGCAAAGTAAACGACTCGAGTTGGCTTGAGAAAAGTCTAGACCTTGAACAAAGAAAGAAGAAGAGGGACAAAGGGCGACCAGAGGTTGGGGGCACGAGATAGACACCGCCCTTGCAACCAGCCAGTGATGCCAGCGCGTGTGTTGGAAACCCCCAAATCTGAGATTAATCCCATTCCATCAATTCCCGCCCCTCTCGCTGGTACGTCGGATGTAATTATTCGTAGGCCTGGCCCAGTTTCCGACCCCAGTCCGAGTTCAGCGCTGCTTGTACCGCTTGTCGTGCTTGTAATAATATTATACCTTATCCCAGCTTCTCCTGAATTCCCGGTTCGCTCCTGCACTATTATCTCGGCCGTCACTTTTGTTCCCTTTCTCCCCAGACAGACGGCAGGTGTTACCTCATCTTGCTTGCCCAGTCCCTGATTTCAACCTCGTGCTGTTACCAAAAGATCCTCAAGCCTTCTCCTCCCCCAAGACATAAAACCACCCGAGGACTCAACCACCCATTTTTTCCCTTTCCCCTTGTCCTCCGAGCCCAGAAGGAGAGGCCGTTCTGTCTTGCACTTGCACCCTCAATCTCTCTTGTTAGCTTTGGCCTCAGACTGCCCCTATTCACTCGTTCATATTCCTTTTTCCACCATCCTCCTTTCTTTTTCGACCTCTCTTTCTTCTCCGGTTCTCGATTCAACCCCTTATTTTTTTTGTTGCCCCATCCCCTATCCCTTGTCCTGTTTGACCGCGCTGCGTTGGCGACTCGAGCCCGAAATTCGCATTCCAGGATACCTTTCCCTCTTTGCGCGACTATCGAAGACGTGCCCCTGCATCCACAGTAGCCACGGACTGACCCGCACACGTCCGAAGAAAGAAAGATCAACTAAAAGACAAGGGTCAAAATCAAAAGGAGAAAAGAAGAAAAAGAAGAAGGGGAAAAACAATCTGGTCTTCTCCCAAATAACGCCAACGCGAAAACACCCACTTCAAGCCTGAACATCGAACGTCTACCGTGCACCATACGTCTTTCTCTTGCTCGCCTCTCGAATCACTCTCTACCCAGATCAATGTTGGACCAGTAATCTTTTCCACCATTCCCCAGATCTCGACGACTCTCCAACAACACAACCCGAACCGTTTGTAGTACGGTTGTGCATCACGCTCGTTCCGCCGTCATTTTTTGCGAGTTTCCTTGAATGAAGTAGGGGAAGTTGGAACACCCTTTTTGCCTACCAATTACCATCGCTTCCTACCGTCGTCTTGACACCTCTCGCTTGCCGGCGCTGCACCTCGTCTCTTTCTTCGCTGTCTCCCTCTTCTCGCCTGCCACCGCATCATTTTCGACACCATTCCCGGGACACGACGCAACCCTACACAACCAATAGGTTCGAACGATCGCGATATTTCAATAATTCTTACTCTGTAACTGGCGCCCCGAAGCCAGTGAAACAATACAGCCATGACATCGTAAGTTGGCCCCCTGTGAGGCGTCAAACCTTGCTGGGACGAACGCTAATCATCTTCGGGCGGTAGATTCGGTGCTGCCCTGCGGTCATTCTGGCACACAATGACCAGCAACGACAGGCGTAAGTCGTGTCCTCCCTCCTCCCTTTGCACTACACTTCCCCACCGAACCTGCCTTTTTTTTTTTTTTTTTTAGGTTTGCCCCTGAAGAGCGCCATTTCTAAATAAAGAAACTTACATATTCCGGCGTTTTAGACTCCGACTACGACTCTCCCTACCGGACAGGTCGCCATGTACCTCTGAACGGCAGGAATGGAATGCTCACTTCAGTCGCGACAGCCTCCGAATCGCGTGCTGATATCAACGCGCCTTATCGAGACGATAGCTCCAGGACTTCCGGTCTAGGAGCTCCTATTTCCCCGTATACGCCGACCGCTTCATCTCCAGGCCCCTATTCCCCCGGCCTTCGATCATCCAGCGCCCAGCGCCTCAGTCAAAGTAACGATGGATTTGAAGTGCAAGGGCAAGCGGCTGGTGATGTGCAAATGCAATCTTTCCAGGACGGACTACCGCCTCCCCGCCCGCTCGCCACACGTGGGAGCGCATCGACGCTTGGTGTGAGGAAAACTATCCCGAACTCTATGACCAATTGGGAGAAGGCGCGACTCGAAACGACCTAAATGAACTCGAGCACGTGCTCGATTGCTCGCTGCCGCAAGACGTCAGGGAGTCACTCATGGCCCACGACGGCCAAGAACGCCTAGGAATGCCCACCGGCATCATTTTCAGCGCCATGCTCCTCGACTGTGAAGAAATCGTGCAGGAATGGGAAAACTGGCGAAAGGTTTCATCCGAGATTCTCTACGACGGGCCTATCCTCAGGTCGCCTGTGCCCGGCGGCAAGCCGACAAGCAACGGCGCTAGCAGCAGCAGCAACGAAGCGTCTTCGTCCAGATCCCACAGCTCTCCCAGAAACTCAGGCTCCTGGCGCCAGGATCTCCTCGCCCGACAGACGTCGATGCCCCCAACAGCGTGCAAAAGGTATATGCTCACCCCGCCTGGATTCCTCTGGTGCGCGACTGGGGCGGCAACAACCTCGCCGTGGACCTTGCGCCTGGCCCGAGTGGCACATGGGGCCAAATCATTCTCTTTGGTCGCGACTACGACTGCAAATATGTCGTAGCCCGTTCTTGGGCAGCCTTCCTCGCCGTTGTGGCCGACGACTTGAACAGTGGGCGGTGGTTTGTCGACGAAGATAGCAATGAACTGAAGCTGCGGGAGTTCAAACAGTCCCGTGTAGAACCATCCTATTTTGAGATTTTGCGATGGAGGATGGATCAAAAGTACGGGCGTCGCGCCGCTGCCGTGGCTGCGAAGCGCAAGTCGGTCATACCGGGCCACGCTAGCCCCACGGCTCCGGGATCACCCACGGCATCTCCCTACGCAAGCCCGACAGATGCAAACGGCTCTCATCGAGGACGATCGATGCAGCGAATCGGCAACCATTCCCCTAGCAAGTCCTAAACCTACCGCTTTCGGCAAGCCTAGCCCGCTCGCTCGCGTCAACGAAGAATCCCTCGCGCTCAACACGGACCTGAAGCCCCCAAGCTTGTGGAAGTCGATACGCCCCGGCCCAGCGAGGACGAGCCCTCGTTGAAACCAGTAAAAGCGACCAATGATGAACTTGACCAAGGCAAGGGCAAGGAGAACGAGGCGCCCGCAACGTCCAAGCTCAACGGCAAATTACCCGAGGTCGACGATGGTGCGATGAAGACGATTGAGATTTAACTAGCAACGAGCGTGACGGAGCGGCCGGTTAAATGCACGGATCCGCTCGTCCTCCTCGTCTTTATCTCTTCACGCGATACCCGAATATCCAAACCACGACCACGATAACGTCCCTTTTTCTTTGCGTCTCCTCTCATGATGAATATGAAGACTACGGGTTTTCTTTCCAAGGCGGTCCGATTGTAAGGTTGTTAAGAAGAGGGATGCGGGACGACTACCTACTCTTCCTTTTTTTTTTCCTTGGTTTCCTCCGCATTTTCCCCAGCATAAAGACAAACCGGTGTTCAGGGCGTCCCAAGCAATTTGCTTTCTGGTTTCTCGCCTACCTTGCGGCCCTGAGGCGTTGCACTAGCCAATCGCCCACAATGGACCTGTCCTGATTGTGGTGAATTTGGCAGGAACACGTCGGCAAGACCCTTGGCTTTTTCCCCCATTTTTTTCTTGCCCAGGAGGATAGATATAGATGAGAATGCGTGGCACTTGATGTGTGGCAAAGCATCCACTATTATATCCTCGGCGAGAAGCGATATTCTACCTTAATTCCATAGTCTTTCAAACGGCTTGGGCCGCCATCACTTATCTTTGTTAATCTTCAGATTCCGCCCTTCATGTCGACGGAACAGCATCCAAGACAAGTGGCGTCTGTGGGAGGGTAGCGGAAGGCACAGCTCGGTCCATCAGGCCCTGCTACAAGACACCTCTGCCCACAGATCACAGATCCACCGCCAAGGGCTTCAATGTTGTCATTGCTCCCTTGGTTGGAAGCGGATGTGTACATTTTTTTCCTTTTCTTCAAGTTGTTTCTTTTTCATATTTTGATTCCCCTACCTTCTGTCTACCATCACTTGGTCGTTGGCAGCGGAGGAGCTGTGGGAGAAGGAAACAAGGTGTTCAGGACCATAATTCGTGTACCATTAAAGCATGGAGGAGAACCAATAACCAGACAAATAGCGATTTTCCACTACTACTGTGTGCGCATCCTTTGCCATCTGTCGTGTCATGTCTCCATCTCCGATGACCTCGCAGCGTAGATTATCAAACGTCGGTCAGTAAGCCGAGTAACCCAGACCCTACGTCATCGGTTTGCTTCGCATGCACATCATCCTCGTTGCTATGGTCAACAGCCGGGCCGCGGCGGGTAGCAGGTTAATTGAACTATTGGCGTCCCCGTGGGTTGGCGGAAGGTGGTAAGACTACGTCTTCTGCCCATGCCTTCCATCAATCTAAAGCAAGTTTCTGGAAAGGTGGGGCAAGAGGGGATAGATATGGCTATAGCAAAGATCGTGATATAGCCCGTAGGTGCCGGACTCAGGCGGAAGGGCGACATGGAATTTGGTGATGATGCAATAAGCAACCACCCAACTTCTCCGTCCACGTGTGTCTGGTAGCAAAGGAACAATAGGTAGCACGCTCGGACGCCTTATATTCTAGAGCATTGCCATTGGCGACGGCGGCTTCTCCATCGTCTGCGCTCCCCTATGCTGGCATTCACGCGCAGTTCTGAAGTCCGAAGAGCTAGCTAGAGCTGTATGTGCCATCATTATAATCGTCGTTCCCAAAGGATGAATGACACGATGTTGGTGGCTCCATTGAAAACCGTGGACCGCTCGGGGCGCCGGGGCGGGTGAATCTTGCACGTGATACCCCAAGGTTTGCCAGTGGAGCTTGAGGCTTGCGCTTTACACCGCGGGTACCACGGGGCGGCGAACGGCGATGAGTCCATGACTCTGGCGCCGCGATTGAGGGACCACACACATTCGGCAACCGCAACCCACTCCGGATCAAGGTGCATTTATTGTATGAAGCTTGCGAGATTTACGAAAAAGAAAAAAAGGGAAAGAGAACCCAAAGGGCCAAAGGTTGAAGGCCGGGAAACGAAGGGTCTGCCAGAATATACATCCACAATCGATGTACAAATAATTTTGCCGACCACCCCCTTCAAAATCACCAGCCATCTCAAATTCCACCCTCTAGCCGCAAAGGGGCATTGAAGTCCTTGGTGTTTCTCTCTCCCTAGAGATTTTATAGCGTGTTGATTCGAATCTCCCAATCCTCGGACCGGCAATACTATATATAAAGGTAACAAAAACTACGAATAAATACAACTATCACTGTCGCCGCAGAAGCCGCCACCGCTACCACAGAAGCCAATCGTAGTCCCCGGGGGAAGATGACTGCCCGATATCCGATCCGGAGTGGCGGGTTCCGGCCTGGAGGTGGCCGCAAACTCGTCGCTAGGCCGCAGGTTAGTAAAGAACGCAAGACACAGCCCGCGAGAGCCAGTCGACCCCATCCCTAATTACAGACTCGTTGTGAAATACATGGCCGCGAGCGCGGTTTAAATATATGTATCACGTCGGCTCCTTTATAGACTAGGCGGGGAGAGATCATGCTCTCAGACTCGGACCTAGAGACTCACAAGAAAGAAACGAAATAATAAAATCTAATAACAGGAGTTTGCTTGTTTTTCTTACGATGACAACCACGAGTTCAAGCAGGACGCTTCGAGCGTGCGCTGGTACTACCACAACCCTATGGATATCGGCGCCGACCTCTCGGCCGGCTTCGATAGATTTGATAAACATGATGAGTCGCAGCCGGACCATCTTACCAGCTTGCTCAAGACTATTATTGATTGGGAGAAGAGGGAGGAGAGAAGATTAGATGCGCACCTGGTGACTTGGCGAGGTATGATGACCAAGGTAAGTGAGTATATGTATATATATATATATTATGCTGGTCTACTCCCCCTTTTTGGCCTACATTTCACATATATTTGGAACTTGGGCTCTTCCGCAAGATGAGAAGCCTCGTAGCTAAACACATAGTTTTCCTTTTACCTTAGATCCTCAGCTGCCCATTTGAGAATCGGGATGGGTACGATTCCTTTCCCTCCCTCCCTCCCAAGGAATTCCTCGCATGTTCAACTCGCTGATTCAAGATAGCTTCGAGATGAATGCCACTGTCTTTCAAGTAAGATAGCTATATTCGGAACCCCCTCCCCTCTTCCCCGTTCCCAACGACGTTTGGGAAACTATACTAACGACTCCGGCGGCGGCGAAGAATAGCCTGTAAGTGCTGTAGGCCCAGCACTCGTTGGAGGCTAGGCTAACAACCGGAACACGGCTAGTTTTATAGAAGAAAACCATGAATTCAGGATGGAGAGTAAGAGGCAGCAGTCGCAACAACGGCGCCGAGGCAAATTTACACCGGAGCAGATGACCTTTTGGGGTACAGTCCTCCCACCCCTCTACACACCCATTGTTATGAAGCCTAACCCTTTCCGCGACGCTAGGGTACAAGTTTGAGACTCTCTGCACACTCTCACGGCCATGGGGAGAAATCTCACGCACAGAAATCGAGTCTAGGCCCAACGACGTGGTCAGCAACAAGGCGCAGTACTGTTCCGTCGCCATCACCAATCTCGGCCCCACCAAAATGTGCCTCGCCGGCGAGATCGACGCCCGTGAGTCTACCATATACTCTGCGTGTGTGGGCCGAACATATACCGCTAACCCAAAAGCACACCGTAGTCTGGGGCTCCAAACCCTCCGATCCGCAAGCCCCCATCGACTGGGTAGAACTAAAAACCACGGCCGAGATCCAGTCCGAGCGGGACCGCGACTTCTTCAACAACAAGGTCATGCGCTTCTGGATCCAGTCCTTTCTCATTGGCGTGTCCCGCGTCATCGTCGGCTTCCGCAGCCACGACGGCCACCTTGTCCGCGTCCAGGAAATGTACACCGCCGACCTCCTCCGTCGCGCCCCGGAACTGGGACGCCGACGTGTGCGTCGACTTTGCCTTTGAGTTCCTAGAGTGTGAGTTTGCCAACCCCCTGGCACCTCTAGACTCTTTCCGTCTCTCGATGCCACATTGTTCTATCTATTCTTTACCTTTATCATGTACCAGGAGAGAAGCTAACCCGAGTTGGGACCCCATTAGGGCTGAAAAGCGTCATCCGCGGCGGCGGCCTCTGGCGTATCCGCAGACAGCCCGGCGGTAGAGACGTGGAGGTATTCCGCCTCGCCGAGCACGGCCACGGGCAAGTGCTCTCGGATGAGTTCCTGGAGTGGAGGAACAGCGAAGCCATGAAGGCCATTGATCAGCAAGCGCAGCAACGCGCCCTACAGGCGGAAAAGGAGCGGCAAGAGCAGCAGGAAGAGGCGCGGGCGGCGGGGCAACAGCAGCCTTCCTAACCCAGATATTCTGCTTGGTCCTTTCCCCTCCCTATCTATCTTGGTTTTTTTGTCCTTCCCTGTCCTGAAAAGGCTCTGCCATGAGGTAGCGCAGAGCTAGAGAGCGCCTTCGGAAGCTTGTAGAATAGTTGGCACATTTATAAAATCACGTTGATCATCAGTGTGCAGGTCGTACATATATTCACTCGGCCTAAAACAATAAAAGTGGTGGGAAAACAAGGTCAAGACCATGAAATTGCGTCTATTGATTGCGATATCCGCAAAATTATCTACCCACAATGATCCTAAACAGAAGATCCTATTGCCGTGCGTAAGAAATGGATCCTCCCATTAGATCAGCTTGCCCGCTCTGACGGTATCGAGATCGAGACCGACCACTGGCAAAATATTCCTTGATTCCATCACATCATCCAACCGCCATCATTAAGGGTGCAACGATAAAAACAAAAGACGCGCGGAAAACAGATCAAAGCAGGAACAAGCAAAAATAAGTGTAGGAAACAAGAGCAGAAAAGACAAATGCCGCCGATGATCATGATGAAGAAAACGGGAAACAAAACAAAAGCACGAGAAAATCAAATCGCAAAACCCGGCCGTGCAGAGAACACCATATCATGAGAAACAATCGTAAAGAAATCAAAACAGGAGGCAAAAACCACTCCCAAACATGCATCATGTAGCGAAGCCCTCGTGAGAGCATTTCGCAACGTCCGTTGGAACACGGGATCCTCGATCCGTGTCCTCCTTTTCCATGGCACTGGCCATGGCCATCATGCAACGTCCTCGCAAGACTGTTGCTCTTCGTCCCCTTAAGTTTGGTGTATTGAGTGGTGTGAGTGTGTGTGAGTGTGTGTTGTGTACAGAAACATTGCTTTGAATGTGTGCTTTTGTATGCGCGTGTGCAAATAAACAGTAATATGCGTATGCTTATCGAGTCAATACTTTCCTGGCGTGTCGTCCCCAAAATTTTTAGACTTTTCGCCCGTTGTAGAGAGATCACCGTGAATGATCATGGAATCTCTAGAGCGAAAGGCCATTATGCAAAGGTCTTTGTCTATGTGGTTCGTCCATCGTACAAGGTATCCGTACATGGCCCATCTAAGTCAAATGCCTCTCAAGTCATGAGAAGGAGTTGGCTAGTGGCGAATGTGGTGTGTAAAATCAAGCTTTTTTCTTTCTTTCTTTCTTTCTTTTTCATACGTTCTCGGAGGGGAAGCAATCGAAGCTAGCGTTTAGAGAGCTTGATACTTCACCCGAGTCGCGCGTCCGGCGCTCGAAAACTTACACAGCAGGCCAGCGGATACGCAGGCCATCAAGCCAACGGCCATACAGTACATCCGAAAGTTGGCTGCAGTGCTCCATGCCAGGTTGAGGTTCGGTACCGGGGTACTTGGCCTCTAAAGCAGACTTTTCATCCTTGTCCGCGTAGTCAGGAGTCTCAGTCTGCCGCCGGCGATGGCTACGGAGGTGCGGGTTCGCTTGGCTCAGCACTAGCTTCGTCGGGCTGTTGGGCGGGGCAGGCGTCGATGCGGTCTTGATGATGACGGTGCCTTGAGGCGTGTTGGATGACGCACCCTTCACGGCGGATTGGCTGAGGAAGGCGTTGTTGAGTTTAGTGTCCTGGGACATGGCGCCGACGAGGTTCTGGAGCAAGTGATAGGCACCTTCCGGGTCGACGGTGTCGAGAAGGGAAAAGGCGTCTGACAGCTTGGCCAGGGCCTCACGTTTAGCCATGGCAGAAGTTTGCGCGTGTAGCTCGGTGAGCGCAGGGTCCACAGCCTTGGCGAATAGCCGACGACCGAGGAGAGCCTCTTTGCTAGAAGCCTCAACCGGCATGGGATGGTGAGGGGGCCTGTTCTCGTTGAAGATCATGCCGTCAACGGAATCGGTGTCGCCCACCTGTCCAGAGGTGGAACCGTCCGAGGGAACTCGACGAAAGAGGCGCATGGTTGAGCCAGAGTTACCAAAAGACATGTCGGGCTGCAGGGGGCGCTTAGCCACACTGATGCGCGGAGAGGGGTTGCCGGGGGTCTTTTGGGCCGAGGAAACAATGCGCCTGACGGAGCCGCTCTGGCTCTGCGTGTAGGCGGAGGAGGGCTGGCGGCGCACGGATCCGCTCGAGTTGTACGATTCGTTGGCCGTCATTATGGAAGGTTGGCGCCTGACTGTCGACCTGCGAACGGTACCGACGGGCGTAGAGGGGCGCAGAGGGCCATCTTCAAGGTCAAGCCTGCGCATGGCGTCTTCGGTGGCGAAAATGGAAGAAGGTTTGCGGGAACGGATGACGGTGGGCCTCTTGGGAGCGACGGACTTGACAGTGTCAAAGGTCCACTCATCAGCCTCATCTTTGGGAGAGATGCTCTGGAGTGTCTCCTGGTAGAAGACGGGATGCGCTTTGCGAGTTTGGCCAACGTCCCACGTTTGCCGGCGAGCGATCAGTTCTTGGAGGGCCTCGACCTTTCCGGCCGCACGGATGAATCGGTGGCGAAGAAGCTCCTTGGCCGTGGGTCGCCTGTCGGGATCCTTGACGAGGCACTGGGCAACGAAATCCTTGAAGTCCTTGCTGAAGCTGCCCTGCAACCTAGGTGGCTCATTCTTGGGGATGTGGAACAACACCTTCATGGGGTGAATGTGGGCCAAGGGGGCTCGCCATTGGCCATCTCCATGGCAGTGATGGCTAGAGACCAAATGTCGGCCTTGAAGCTGTATCCGTCTTGTTGAATGACCTCGGGGGCCATCCAAAAGGGCGTTCCGACAAAGGTATTCCTCTGAGACTTGATGTTGGTGAGTTGAGCAGCAACGCCAAAGTCAGCAAGCTTGACCTTGCCCGTGTCTGAGAGCAGAATGTTGGCGGCCTTGATATCGCGGTGGATCTTGCCCTCGGTGTGGAGGTAATCGAGACCACGGAGTAGCTCTCTACAGACGATGGCGATGTGCGATTCGGGGAAGTTTCCCGGTTTTAGCTGTGTTCACCGTGTTAGTCTGGCGATTCCCAACTACAATTGCAATATTTGTAACAAGGCGGGTTAACTAGTCACGTAGGAGGGAACGGAGAGGGTTGTCCTACCAAGTCTAAACAAGAGCCACCACCAAGGTATTCCATGATGATCCATAGCTTGTGGCCCTTGAGGAAGCATCCCTTGTACTGGGTGACGAAGGAGCTGGAACAGGTGCTGAGAACGGAGATCTCTCCCTGAATTTCTTGGATATCGTCCTCGCTCGATTCGAGATCGATCTGCGGCCAGAGGTTGTTAGGTTGGGGTTTTGAAAGAATGAGGACGCATTAAGGCAAACCCAGGAGGGCAAAGGGCATTTGCTTGGTAGAGTGGAACAACTTACGTGCTTGATGGCGACGGTCTCGCCCGTAGACTTTTCAATTCCCTTGTATACGACACCGAAACTTCCCCTAGAGGAGCCAGCGACGGTTAGCGACCAGACCAGACATGCACACATACGACGGCCGCCCAAGGGGCCGACCCGTCTTGTTCTCGCAGACTTACGACCTAGCTCTTCCAACACCTGGTAATTAGCGGCGACACCTTCGTCAGCCATGTTGCTCGAATTCATCTGTCAAAATGCGCCGGATCACGACGATCGGTCCGTTGATCCTGGTTGAGTCGCTGTTTGCGTTTGGTGGGGAGGGAGAGGGGACGAGGTAAACAGAAGCTCGTGAGAGTCGTCGTTGGATGCCGCTGGTTTAGGCAATTTTGTTGTTGAACGGGATTAGGCCAAGAGACGAAGAGACGCTGGATGAGGTCGACGCAGAGAGTCTCGAGACGGCCAACGTCCATGTCAACAACCAGCACGCTGGTGATGTATGTTGTGTAGATGCAAGATGAGAAGATGAGAAGCCTCATGCAAGATGTGGAAGGGTTCCGAGAGTTAATACATGTTCTGGGTTGCTTGGGCGGTATCCGTGGTGTGGGGCTAGCAACGGCAAGGGGCGTGGGCCGTGTGCGTGGTGTGTGTGGTGATGGTGTGGATAGTGCGGGTGGTGCGGATGGAGTGTGGTGTATTATGGTGTGTGTGTAAGCGTGTGCGATGAGGGGCTAAGCAACATGTACGAAGTAGTATACTTCAATCGCACCTGGAGAGACAACGGCCCTACGAAGTTTTTGGCAAGCGTTGCTTCATGTGTTGTTGCCAACTAAATGCAAGTACGAAGGACGAGATAGTATGCTACACTGCATCTACCTCTTTCATCCAAAGAGAAGGACCTACGATGGGCATAGAGACAGACAGTACACACACACGAATAGAACTTTGTGATCATACACCTGGATGCTTGTGCAAGTTGCTTGTCAGCACTTCGTATCACCTTCATAATAACTTCGGGCTCAATGGGGAGGGGGTGTCTACAAGATCAATGGGATTCCACAAAGTACAAGTAGGCGTGGTTTGCTTCGATATGGATGTGTTAATCAAACTGGGGTATCTTGGGCCCCGCAGGTTGTCCCGGAGAACAGCTCCCTAGTGCACAGTGTGTGTAGGGTATTTGGGGCGAAATTCAGGGATCGATTCCAAGGGGGAAATCAGAGCTGTGGCGCTGCGAGGCTTATGTCAGAGGTACTGTGACAAAAACCGTAGAATCGCAGAAGCGTGGAACCTGGTACCTGCTACGGGGATGGCGGAGTGCGGATTGGGAGGATCAGTCACGGTTGTCCGGGCTGTAGAGTAGCAAAAACGCTGGGGGCAGGAGCTGCTCTTTTGTTTACTTGTGACCGCTTTCGGATAGCTCCTGGCTTCAATGTCCATGGCACCTGCTCGAGACAGTGCCTGGCGTGAGCTAAGCTGTAAGCAGCAAGTCAAGTCGGCGCCGCCGGTCTCTAGGGCAAAGACAGAGGGTCTCTTCCTTGGATAGTGCGAGGGTATCTTCCGAATCCAGGCGAGTGGATCAGATCCGCTGGACAAGTCAGTACAAGTTCTTGGTTGGATTGACGTTATTCTAGCGGAGGTGGAGAGCGGAGTCAGTCGCTTTTTCGTTCTTTTTTTTTCGTTCTTTTCTCTACTTCCTTTCTTTTGCCTCGCTATTATTCTCCTTCCCCATTGAACTTTGATTTGCTTTTCAGCTCGAGCTGGCAATAACGTGATGGCAAGACGGCGGATTTGATGCAGACGCACAATAGAAAAGCACTACACCTCTTGGAGTTTAAGATGAAAGCTAATGCGACCAGGCTGATGGCTGCAGCGTCGCATTTTCAAGTTGCCGAGTTTGGATGCTACGGATTCATACACGACACTCCGACTACTTGTAGCAACACTGGTTGCCGTTGGTGTTTTATTATTAGAGAGCAGCCAGCAACAGCCTTTAAGAAGGAAGAAAAGGGTCCCGGCCGAGTGGCTCAAAGGTGCGAGCTGAACACTCTCTCGCTTCTTTGCTGGACCATACTGTTAGCTCCCTTGATTACTTGGAACCGGATAATGGGGCTCAAGAACTACACTAAATGAGGGCCTGTCGATGAATGCGATTAATTAGAGCTAGTTTGGGAGGCTTGCTGACGTGCGTGTCTGACCGAAACGCCAGGGATTGGCTCGCCATTGCCCCGAGCAACTGTCGTGGTACATGAAAGAAGCAATGCGCGACCTGGGGTCACCACCAACGAGCATCAAGTACCAGACATCACTAGGACCATTTCCAACATGATGTGAGCATACCCCTTGCCAGTGGCTTTGCATACTTGGAGAGAATTGAGGACGTTCTTGTCAGAGATCGTTATTGCCTCGGTCAAAGATGCACCCGCGCCCCTGAGAGAAAATCACTGAGCAACGCGCAAAAGTGGATGATGGGCACTTCGCTTCCCACTATTCGTACTTCGTATGCGACGGGAGTTTTGTCGATGCAAATTGGTGTTTCAAGCCACTTCCCGTCCGGAAGCGCTTGGCACGGCGAGTGGCCACTCCCTCATGTCTCTATCTTGCGCTTCTTTACATATTACTTCATAGATACTTGGAGGAAAGGATGGCGTGCGCTCTCTGTGCGCTCCATACATCCACTATTATTATTACACAGGCGAAATCGGGTGTAGCTCCCCGTATTAGACCAGCTCGCTCGACCTCCCGCCATGATCGTCGTGAAGAGGGACACTATCCGGAAATGAGATCACCGTCAAGCCTCACCGGCGTATTCTCCATTTACTTATTCCTGTCAGCCGCCAATAATACGGGCTCAGCGTCGTCGACGGCCAAATCGTTCAGGGTTGGCTTCAAGCCGGCTCCGACATAACGAGTGCTTTGCGATAGGATGGATCGATTGATACTGCCTTCAGGGCAAAGATGCGGAAGAGGGGAAGAAAAAGAAAAGTGAGAAATTCAACATACAAAAGAAGGAAAGAAAAAAAACGCGGAGAAGATGATCCAGACGAATTCGTGGGGAAGACAGGGCTTGTTTCACATTACTTCTCTGCGCCTGAGGTTATGAGCTGAGCTGATGGTCGTAGATTGAGATGAGAGAGTGTGGATGTAACACTTCGAGTACTTGCTAGTCGGCTGTGAATGCTATTATAGTGCGCTTCCGGCATCGCAAAAGACAGAGACATTGTTGGTCCGGCACAGACTAGCAAGAATCGTTCCTTGCAACGGGGCTAGAAGCACACATTTGCGAGTACGATCACAGCTAAACGTTGTTAGACCGGACCACCCGCGTTTTAGTAGAGTTCCAGGGCGACTTGAAGGAACTGATGGCAGAAGAATGCACTAGATCAATGGTCCCGCTGTTAATCGTGAACTCGAGCACAATGAAAAGAGTTTTGGGGTTTCCAAATTCAAGTGTGATTCTCCCCACAAGTGGCAGATTCGAGCATTACAATTTCTCCACCAGCCTTGCCACTGACACCAATGACATGACAAGTCGGGTACTTGTACTATCATTTCCCAATTGCCTCAAATGAAATAGCGATTGCATTGGGGGAAGTTGCTATTCAGTAGATCGACGGGATTATCGCTGGCCACTGCCACGACCAGTCAAGCGAGTCCTTGTCCAGGAAAACTATTGGATTTGTTGACGACCAGTTGACGTCCACCGTAACGTGCGGTAACGTGCGGTAACGTGCGGTAACGTGCGGTAACGTGCGCGGGAACAGGCCGTGGCTTGCGGGTTCCCGTGTGGTTCGTGGCAACCCGCCGGTTGCCCCGTCGACAGGCCCCTCTGTTTTGTTGCCTCCCTGACCAGATGCCGCCAACTGAATCTCCACCAACATCTCAGTCCCAGCCCAATCCCAGAAAGGCAACAGTGGTTCGTATTATCCACACCGCAACCACACACCTCCAACAAAATATCCTAAACCCCTACCCTGCCGCCGTCTTTGCTTAATACCTAGGAGCTATTATATCCCCATACCGAAAAGCCTTGCTTGTTCAACGTTGTTTCTCTTTATCTCCATTTGCCGAGAAAAAGGAAGACAGTGGATTCACGCGCCAAGTGCCCCGTTCTTTTTTGTTTTGGCCCGGCGTGACTTGGCTCGAGTGCAAGCTCTCCCTTCAACCCTACCTACTCCACAGTCTTTCTCCAGACTCACCAAGTGTGTTCGTCATTGATGAAATCCGACCAAACGAAGACAAGACGAGGTTGAAACGACAGAGGACGAGGCGAGACGAAACGAGACGAGCCAGACGGACGTGATTGCAGCGTCTAAAGGCCTACACGATCCAGCTTCACCACTCCCCGTTGAGCCCAAAGTAACGACACCCAACCAAGAAGGGGAACGGTTGAGAGCTTTCCACAACAAAAGTCATAACGGCCCTGGAGGCGAATCTCTGAATACCACGACTTTGGACGGCTTCTAGAGTTACCCGCCCGCGTGGGCGTCTGAACATTCGTTTTCTTCTTCCCTCCAAATATCCGCCCACCTAACTCCTTGATACCATGGCGTTCGCACCGCCGCCCCTGCCAACGCGATTTCCATGTTGGTGTAGAGCTGTATACTCTTGGGGAGGAGAGGTATGTTGAGTTTTGAGCCGCCAAAGGCTATTTTCTTCTTCTTCTTTGCCTTTCGAGATAGGAGATTGGCTCTAACCCCGAATCAACAGACAAAAAGGACCTTGGCTTCATAGAAGGTGACCTGATCGAATGCTTGAATGCCGGAGACGGCTCTTGGTGGACCGGCAGACTCTACCGCGATAGGCGGACAGTTGGCGTGTTCCTTCCAACTTTGTCCAGGTTCTTCCCGACGATTTCCGGCCGACGAGTCGGTCCGTGAGTCCACTGCCGGCGAGCAACACCCCGAGCCCGCAAACCATCTCCCACCAAAAACGAAATCATGGAGGAAGCCCTTTGAGGCCTACTCAAAGGCGCCGCACTACACCACGGCGAAGCAACCAGAGACGTATCGTCCTGGCACGGTTCGGTCGAGAGACAATTCGGGCAGCTCGATGCAGCAGCAGCAATCCAGGTCACAGCCCACAAGGACGCAGCGGACACCGTCTCCCTTGCCACCCTCGCATTCCTATGACATGCGGCGTGCCGCTTCTCCAGCACCTCCCCCTCCCAGAGCTATCATTCCCGGGGGCCGTCGCCGATACCCCCTCGCCAGGGCTATCCCGCTAGGGCCGTATCCCCAGCCCCTCCACCGCAAGGCTACCACTCAAGGGCTGTCTCTCCTGCCCCCTACAACATGATTATCACCAAAGGGCCGTATCCCCAGCACCTCCCATGCAGGGGTACCCAACTCGAGGTGTATCTCCCGCGCCTTCCTTCCGCCCGCCCCATCACCAACATCATCGCTCGCAAGAGTTTGGAAGGGCGGACTCACCCCCGCCTCCAGCGCCTCCGCCTCATCGGCATGTGGCTCGGCAGGGATCTAACGCTTCTTATAACCCTACCCCTCCGGACTTGCCCCGGCACAATTCTAATGCTTCGTTTGATAACCGTTACCAGGCGTACAATTTCCCCGCCAGGCACGGATCCAATGCTTCCTTTGATCCCGTCCCTGCCGAGCTGTCCCGCCACGGATCCAACGCATCATACGACCCGCCCCATGTACCTCACCACAATGGCTCCCAGCGGCAGCACCAGCAGCACCACCAACAACACCAACAACATCAACAGCATCAACAGCATCAGCAACACCAGCAACACCAGCCCGATAACCGGCGATCATATTATGCTCCCCGAGCGGCGTCCCCGTGTCCGCCTTCACCTGCAGGGAGTCATATGACGCCCTCACCGCTCCGCGAGGCCATGGATGGAGTGATCGACGCCCTTGGCATGTCGAGGGGCCCAGAGGAGCCCCAAGCACCTCTAGATCCTTGGTCACCCGAGTCCTTTGACATGGTTTCTCATCAGACGCGCAAGAGGGCCCAAAGTCGTCCGCATACGGCTATGGGCTATCCCCACCCGGACGAGGGTTACGAAACGTGGAGTGGGGAGTCATCGCAAGATCCTTCGTACCACAGCGGGTACGCCGGAAAGGACCATCCACTCCCCGAGTTGAGTAGTTATGTTGACCGGATGGAAAAGAGCTTCCAGAAACTTCACACCCAGGGCCCCACCGTACCGGGACTAGACCTTGACACGCCGCCCGCGCCGCCTCCCAAAAACACGCCGTTTGACCGCCCCAAGTCGTCGATGGGAATGGCCGCGCTTGATATGAAGGGGCCCGGACCCATCATCCCGGAACGGAAGCTGAGACACAGGAAGTCGGCTTACGAGGTCGGCCGCGATGTGCTCGGCCGCACGTTCACGACCAAGACAAACTCCACCAACGCTTCCTCGGGAAACCGTAGCACAGTGACCACAACCACGCAGAACAGCGACCGAAGTCTGATGAGCGGGTCATCGGCAGGCGCTATCAGTGCCACCAGCGCTGGTAGCTACGCCAGGAGACGCGAGCGCGCACAGAGTGCCTTGGGCGTGCGGGATCTAGACAACGATAGGCCAGAGTCCCCGTTTACCGGAGTCACATACCACAGCAGCCACGCCTCCGGTCCATCCCGTCCGCAGTCCCAGATTGGTTTCCAAGACGACCATCACGGTGGCCTCGGCGGTCTCGTTCAGCCAAAGCCACCTAAGCGGAGCATTTTCAAGAAAATACTCGACTCGGCCAAGACGGGAGTGGCCAGCGGTCGCAGCCATATCGCTCTTGCGGGCGACGGGCCAAAGTCGTCCCCCTCAACAAGTCCATGTCTTCCGGAATCGCTTCCAACCCTGGCGCGATGAGCAGCACCCCCACCTCGGTAGCAGTCGCGGAGGCGATGCTGCTCGGGAGATGGGACTTGGCAATGCCGTGGATTGGGTGCAGGTCCGTCGTGACGTGAATCGGTCCAACTCGTTGAGCCTCCACGAGCGAGGCGAGCGACGCGAACGGGCGCAGATGCTGGATTACCCGTCGATCAATGCCGCGGACGAACTGTACGAAAGCATTAATGGCGACGAAGGGACGGACGGCATGCCCGTCAACAACCCGATCAACTATCAAGCCATCAATCTCGGCCAGGTAGACAAGAATACGCGCTTTGTCGCGAACCTGCCCCCATGACGACGGCCATCACGCTTGCTACAACCTATGTGTGTCGGCCGTACCGAAGCGACGTGCAGCGTCTTCGCGCCATCTTCACCTATGTCGCGGAAAAGATTCTATGGGAGGAAGATTTCGAGGGCGAGGTGGACACTCGACACATTATCCAGTCTAGCCGTGCTTGCGCCAAAGAAGTCGCGGTCCTCGTCATGGAGATGTGTTTAGCTGTTGGCATCACTTGTGAGGTTGTGCGAGGATACTTGAAGACGCCCGGGAAATCCCCGAAATGTCCATCATGCCGAGATCGAACCACTGGTGGAACGTGGTGGCGGTCGACGGAGAATGGAGGATGATGGATTGCTCGCTCGCGGCGCCATCGAATCCCAAGCGCGCGGCGTATTCGGCGGTGGGTAGCTCCATGGCAGACGGTTGGTGGTTCCTCGCGCGACCCACCGAGATTTGCTGGACGCACATTCCCGAACATCACGGGCAGCAGCATATTTGCCCGCCGGTGGCGCACGAGATCTTGCTCAACCTGCCGTGCGCTTGCCCTCCTTTCTTCCGGAACGAGATCCAAATGTTTGACTACAACTCGTCCCTGACGCGCATCGAGGACCTGGAGATGGTGCACATCAACTTCAACGTCCCTGAAGATGTCGAGGTAGCCGCTGAGGTGGAGGTCCGGGCCTTTACGCGAGATCCGGACGGCGACGTCTTTGAGAGCGGCGAGACGGTTAAGAAGCGAGCTCTGGCGCAGGCTGAGTGGTTCAATGGTGTCAAGCGTTTCACCGTCAAGGCGCTGCTCCCCGGCGACGAAGGTCAGGGTATCCTCAAGATTTATGCGGGTAAGAGGGGTCTGATGCACAGCATCAAGGACATACCTCATCCGCTTGCCTTTGCCCTTCCCATCATCCACACGGGCGAGAACCCCGAGTATGAATTCGTCACGAGACACCCTACACCGCACGCGCAGAGGCATGACATTTACGTCGTCCAGCCTCAGTGCCAAAGACTTGCGCTCAACAACACCTTTGTCTTTGCCATCCGCCAGCACCCGAGCTCGGCGGGCGCGTCAACGCTGACGCCTTCGTCCAACCCCGGCAACGTCAGCCCGATTCCGTTTGTTCGTCCCAGCTCGGCCATGAGCATGACGGCGTCAAGCGCGAGCGGATCGAACCCTAGCACGGCGAGCTCGGGGTATCCGGGCAACAAGAAGCCGGCGAAGTTGGCCATCCAGACTCCGGGCGGCAAGATTCTCAGACTCATGAGAAAGGACGACCGCAAGGGTGTCGGTGCGGGCACTGCGCGAGCGAGCGATGAGGAGGCTAGCGATGGGGGCACTTGGGAGACCATCATCAAATGCTCTGAAAAGGGGACATGGCGAGGCTTGGTACTCGCGGATCGTACGGCGAGGTGGTGCGTGTTTGCGGAGTGGGTGTGTGCGTAGACCCGATGGCAACCGCCAAAGAAAATGGAGAGACGACCGATGGTGGCAGGCTCGGCGTTCGTTGTGCTGTGTGTGGGCTCGCCTTTTTTCTTTTCTTTTTTTCTTCGCTTCTTTTGCCTCTTTCTCTGCCTTCATCCTTTTTAATGCTTGAGCGCGCGCGCGAGACATGTTATTGCTTTTCATTGGGAAAAGGAGTCCTTGGGAAGTCGCCCGTTTTTCGGTTCCAAGCGGGACGGCTTTTGCTTGCTTTGCGTCTTATTATTTACCTTTTTGCTTCTGGAACCCTTTTCGTTTTATGCTTTTCGACGCCGGCAAATGTTGCTCTTGTTTTGCGTGGCATGGCATTGTAACGGCGTTCTTCTTTTTTCTTCTTTTTTAACCTCTTGCAACGCACTCGGACTTGTAGCCAGTTGTTTAGACTAGGTTTCGTGTATGATTAGACTGGTTGCAAAAGGAGACGTTTGAACAATGGATTTCGATGGGATCTAACTTTTCGTCCTGCCTTGCTTGTGTATAACGTTTATTTTCCCAATGTGATTGCTCGACGTATTATTATCGTAGCCTACAATTGCAGAAGTGCGAGTACCCTTTGGAGCCTGTCAAAGAAACGGCAATCAACGCCACGAGCTATTATACATGCCTTTATCACATTCATGATCTGAGAACGATCCCCTTGGCGACTCACCAAAGATGAGGTTGGGAGAGGGTTGGGAAACCAGCGAGGAATAAAGGCATTTCAAGTGAGGTGAGTTACAACTGACGACCATAAACCATGGTCGCCCCAAATGTTGGACTAAAACGAGAGACAAAGATGAGGATGGGGGACTCGTGGACAGAACAGGCTGGTGCTGTCCGGCCTTTTTGTAAAAGGTGGATTAGGGTATCGTTTCTTGGACATCTATGGATTCTCTTCTTCCGGTTTTTGTTTTATAGCGAGGTCTTTCCTCCTTCTCTCTCTCTCTCTCCCTCTCTTCCAGAACGGTCCTGCGCCGTCTCCTCAATGTATCAAAACCGATAGTTGCCTTTTGCACGTTTCGTCTCCCGCATATCCTTTTCCACCTCTCCCGTACCGCCATCCGGGCAATTGACATCCATCAAGATATGTAAATCTCATACAAACATCCGCAGACAGCCCTCAGACCTCCTCTTAACCCGCCTCTGTATTCTCCTCCACGCATACACCCTCAAGGATTCTCTCTTCCAGACCTAACCCCCTTTTCGCTTCAACGGCTCAAGCAGCTCACCCAACCTTATTTATCTGCACCTGGCGGTCTTCACCTCCCGATACAATGCCCCAATTAGCGTCCCAGTGGAGTCTTAGCACCTTGCCCCCGTTGCCGTCGGGCCTGATCTTGGCGTCCTTGGCGGCCTCGCGGGGATAGTGTAGACGGCTTCGTCGCATACGCGACCACCACCCTCCTCCTTGGTCCCGGCGCGGACGCTCCGGAGATCCCAGATTTTGCAAGTGCTGTCCCACGAGCCGGAAGCGAGGCTGTATTCGTTGCCGGGGGCCGCACTGACGCTCTCGACCCAGCCAATGTGGCCGCGCAGGGTCATGACCGAGGTGGTGGAGGCGGACTGGCGGGGGTCGATGAGGGTGATGTGTCGGGCCGTGGTGCCGGCCGCGAGGAGGGACGAGTTGGTGAGGGCGGTGAGGGAGCGGAGGGGTGCATGGTGGTGAGCGAGGACACCATCTTTTGAGTGGTCAGGTCAATGGTGCGCACGGAGCCGTCCATGGATGAGGCGTAGGCAATGGAAGGGTCGAGGGGGTGGAATATCGCCGCCGTGACAGGCTTGTCCGAGACGTTGGCGAGGGCGAGGGGCCCACGCTGCTGGAGCCGGACGGAGCTCTTGACGCGCTTGGCGGGGGCGGGGCGCGCGGGCTCCTCGGGCTCGTGGGCGGGGGCGAGCTTGCGCGACGCCGTCCAGAGGCCGACGCGCCCGTCCGAGGCGGCGGTGAGGAACTTGCCACTGGCGTGGTGGACCGAAATGTCGCGGATCTGGTCGGCGTGGGCGCACAGCTCGAGCACGGGCTTGAGAGACCCCTTGCCCGCGGCCTCGGAGTACTCCCAGACCAGGACGGTGCCCTCGATGCCGGCGGAGACGATCTTGGTGGGGAAAGGAACTTGGCCGTGTTAACCCTCCGCCTGTGGCCGCCGTGGGAGGCGTCGGGCGAGACGGCGAGCATCTGGCCGGAGCGGTCCCACACGCGCAGCAGCTTGTCGTAGCTGGCACTCAGCAGCCTCTCGCCGGCGACGTCGAACTCGCCGCCGTCCTTGGCCAGGAGGGCGGCAGCCGCGGGGGCGGAGGCGGAGAGCACGTCGACGTCAGAGACCCAGTCCTCGTGCAGGAAGCTGTTCTCGTAAAGGGGGCAGGAGACTGGGCACGTAGTCGAGGGTTACGGTGCCTTCGAGGGATATGCCATTGCGCTCTAGGTGCTCGGCAATGGTGCCTTTGAGGAAGGAGCCGTTTATCAGGAAGTCGAAGGGGATAGGGCTGGAGGTGTCGAGCATGTCCTCATGGTTGAGGATCTGGGAGAGGCCATAGCGCTTGATGTCTACATAGTTTCCGATTTGTTAGACGAGATATGTGGGAACGTGGGGGAAAAGAAAGAAACAAAAGAAGATGGACTATCTACGGAGAAGAAAGACAAGAGGAGAAGCCGTTTAAAAGGACAGCAACTTAAAAGAGGGAGAAATTGAAAAAAAAAAATTTAAAGAGAGGGAAAACGAACCTGATGGGACAACCAGCTGGCGCTTTTCTTCCGGTAGTTGGACGTCTGTATGCTTGGTCGTAAAGACGACCTTGACCTGTGCTATCGTCGTCATTGTGCGTCAATTCGTGCGCGAGGCGACTGTCGAAACGATTTGAACAATTGGGGGCCGAGGCGCAATGTCGTCGTGGCCGGAGGAGGAGAGTAGAAGCCGGACCGTATCGATTGCGGAACAAGGGAAGGCACGAAGGTCGTAAAAAAAAAAGTTTGGGGGAAAAAAATTAGAGGGTGCAAGGCTGGAAACTGCCCCGCCACCACAGTCGTCAGCCTTGCAGCAATTTTTGACGCTAAGGGCCCGCCGACTATTAGACTGCAACTGGTGGCTTCAATGTTCTCGACACGGACTCAGATGGCACAACTGTCTATCTATGCCTTGTCGCAATTACCGGAAACGATTTTACTTGGAATTGTAGTTTTGCGTACTTCGGAAATCAACAAGAAACTTGGACATCAAAATGGCAATCTGTAACTCGTCTCGTTTGTAAATACAACATACATTTCGTACTTGTGACCCGCTCCTCCATTTCATCGTCAAGAAGGGTATTGAATTTCCATATACACAATCAAGAGCCGTCTCGCCACGCGATACCCCAATAGCAGGTCATTAGGAGTTGTCGCCCGCAATCCTGTCCCTAGGCTGTCAAGTCCTTGGACGGGCACCACCTTCCTTTTTCCTCCCCAAGGATAGAAGAGAGAGCAACAAAAGTTAGACAGATTGAGAGGCAAATGACACGAAAATGAGGCAAAAATAGAGTTGGAAAAGCGTAATATGAAAAGAGAAGAAAAAGAAGGAGAAAAAAAAACCCTCACTAGAAGAACTAACGTAGCATTCCCGCGTTCCCGAGCCTCCGTTCTATGCTAAAAGAAGATGAAAAAGAAGAGTCCCACGAGGGTAGCGAAGCCAAGAAGACGGAGACGAGAAACAAGGAGATAACAAAAGCAAACTAACGACGCATCAGCTCTGCCACAGGAACTCGCTCAGATTCAGCATCTTGTCCGCCATCTCCCTCTTCGCAGCTGCTGTCACGCCCCTCTCGGGGTCGTTGAGCTGCTCGCTATAGCAAAGTTCCATCAGGTTCTTGAGCTCATCGTACGTAAACACCTCGCCTGTCGGCACGCCTTCCTCGGCGTTGGCTTGGATCTCCGACACTTCCTTGGCCTTGGCCACAATAGCATCGGGGCCCTTGTTAAAGAGGTCAAAGTAGTTGGTCGTCCGGGAAAGGTCCACGCCGTCTTCAATGTTCTTCAGGTTTTGCTGCAAAACAAGAACGTTGAGCTTCATGCGCCCGCAGCCCTTGGAGTTCATCGGCGACGCCATGGGTGCATTGCCGACAAGATACCTGTTGACGAGAAGGCCGAGCCCCGTGCGGACAAAGGTAATCTCCTTATCGCGGAGGTACCGGACAGTCGTCTCGTCGGATGCGACAAGCTCCGAGTTGAGGCTGAGAATCTCAGGATCTGGCTCCCGTACCTCTTGGTCGAGCACATACGGTGCTGTCTCGGGAGAGAGGACAATGTGCAGGGAGTGGATGATTTTGCATCGCGCCTCCATGTGAAGTGTAAGTAAAGCGGCCTGCGCCAGATCACTGTAGGAGCTTAGGATGCCATCAAATGTCCTGCGACGACAAAAGAGTCCCGTTAGCCACGGCGAGGGAAAAGAAAAACAGGGAGAGAGAAAATGATAACAAAGGGGGTGAGGAGGAGGGGGTGATGGGGAAACAAGTGAAAAATAACTGCAATGGAAAAAGGTCAGGATAAAGAAGAAGAGCACTTACGCAACAGTATCCTGCGTCATGGGAAGATGTATGGGCCCCTGATCATTCGTAGCCTTGCCAGGATCGTTCATCAACGTCCATCGCCGGCTCGACTGTCGTGGTAAGTTAGGCCTCGATGAGTCCGTGTCCTGCGTAGTAATGTGCCGGAGGCTCGAGATCTTGGTCGATAGCCACTTCATGCTCGTATAGAGCAGGCACAGCGACGAAACAGTGTCCCGGTCCTGGATGATGTCGCTGAGGTCGAGAGCCCGCTCCTTGGTGGTTTGCATGAGAAGCCGAATCTCTTCCTCCAGCAGCTCGCCCTCCGCCCCGCCCTCCGCCGTCCAAATCTTCTTCATCGTCTCGTTGATCTCGCTCTGCTCGAGCGCCATCCTCGCCGACGCCCGCATCCTCTGCTGCTCGTTGGGCTGCTCCTGCGCCTTGGTGACCAGGCTCTTGTACCAGCCGAGGCACCTCTCGTAGTACCGCATCATCTGTGTGATGATGAGAGAGCTGAGCGCCTGGTCGTGCGGTATCGTCGCGAGCATCTTGCAAAATGCCGTCACCACGGCGAAAAAGGCCGTCGTCCCCTTGAGAACCGGCCGCTTGGCCACCTTGCGCCAGTCCTGATCCTGCAGGAAAGAGTCCATCTCGCCAAAGATGATCTCGCTCAGCTTCGCCAAGGTCTCGTCTAGCTGCGGCTGGAACACGTTGACCAGGAAATTATCCAGGAACGACGTCAGCGTGCTTGTCGCCAGGTCCGATCCGGGGGCACGATATTCTTCAGCCGCTGCAGGAACACGAGGGTCGGCGGAAGGAGCAGGCTCATGTTGAACACGCTCGGCTCCACAAGCGACTTGTACGTCTTGGAAGCCTGCGGGCTATCGTAGTTGGTGTCGGTCTGCTTTCGGCTGCCGCCCCGTCCATGAACGAGCGGATGCCGATAAGCGAGGCCTTCTTGTCCGCCCTGCTGCCCGCCGCGCCACCACTGCCGCTAGTAAGGCCGGGTACCGCCGACTGGATGATGCCCTCGAGCGCTTCGTACTCGGCCACCATCTCGGCGGATTTGACGTCCGCTTCGGAAAACTTGAACAGATCCTTCTTCGCATCCTTTCTCCCGCCAATCGTGATTCCAGTGTCTGCCGAGGAGTTGAATTCGTACACATCCGCGTCCGTTGTCACATAGTTGTGCAGGAGAGACCGTATCTCGTTTTGGTAAAGATTCCAGAGTTCCTTGAAACTGCCGAGGAGGGCGCTGTTATTGCCCGCCCCTTCCCGGCGGATAAGAGCCTTGATAGATTCGTGGAACACACGCTGACCCTCGGCGATGGCCTCGAATTTGCCGTATAAAGACCAGAGAAGATCGTAAATCACGTCTGCTCGCATCTTGGTTTCGCGGTTGCCGTAGATCTGCAGCCCGTGGCTGTTGGAGGATCCACCTCGTAGGGAGCTGGGGTGCCTCTGGTCTACCTCGTTGATGGTTTCATTGACTACCGAGAAGAGCTCTACCGGTAGTCGCTGCTTCAGGACATCCACAGCGTTCTGGAGCCGCCCGAGTTTGTTGAGCGACTCGACGAGGAGCCCAATGTAGTAAAATGTGTCGGCCTCTGGGTTCCGTGCGGGGTCTTCCGTCACAGCCTGCTCGAATTCGATATTCTCGAGCAACTGGTGGAAGGGAATAACCGTGATGGAATCGCCTACAGAGTCGTGGTTGGTGCCCTGGTTTTTGGCCAGGTTTTGCCACCGTTCCTGGCAGTAAGGTGACTTGAGGTATAGGTGCTCGTGCAACTCCTCGACAAGTATATCCATCAGCGCAGTCTCCTGGTTCGCGAGGTAGCTTCGCAGGTCGCTGAGCGCTCCGATATCATCCAGCTCGGGTCGACGGAGCTTGAGGAGAGCGTTTTGAAGCACCTCTACCGCCGTCAGGAAGCGTTTTTCCGAGATGCGCGCCTCCAGTTGATCGGGAACCTGGCGAAGCTCCTCCAGTTCGTCCAAGAGCTGGAGCAGCGCGTCGTACTTTTGCGACGTTTTGGATAATTTCTGGAGTTCGGGATCGCTCTGGGCGAGGTTGCCCTTGGACGAGGAAAGAGATTCCTTGAGCGTGCGGACCCTCTTCTGCGATGCTTGTATGCTCTCCTGGATCTTGTGGAACGTGCCGATGGAGCTGTTGAAGCCTTGGTGGTGCTCGTTTACAATGTTACGCAGGGACTCTTGCAAAAACTTGTGTGTCTTCTGGAAGTTTCGGTACTCGTGGGCTCGGCCGACGGAGCTAGTGTCGAGCAGCTGCAGCGCTAGCTGAACAGGTATGCAATCGGTTTCGCAGAGGGAGGGCCAGTCGACCTTGATAATGTCGACAACCTGATTGATCTGGCGCTCCGCGCTCGTCTCGCCCATTCTCGGCGCTCGCGATGGCGGCGGCTGCCTCGAGCTCGGCTGCCGTAGCTCTTGTTGTTGTTGCCGTAGCTCTTGCTGTTGTTGCTGTTGTTGCGACGACTGCTGCTGTTGCGGTTGTAGGCCGCCATAGCCACCGTTTCGCATCGCGGGCGGAGATCGCGTTCGAGAGGGGGAAGAGGGGGCCGTTATTGTTGCCTGCGTATCTGTTGTCGCTACCATAGCTGTCTCCGTAAGGGTCGTAATCGTCGTCGCGCCTTCCACCGTACCCTCCTCCTGTTCCGCTACCGCCTGAGCCGTTGCGGCCACCAGCGCTGCCACTGCCGTATCCCCTCCGCCGCTCCCACCCGATCCGTATCCCCTCGCCCACTGCCCCCGAGCCTCCTGCACCTGCTGCGCCATATCCATTGGTCCCACCGCCGTATCCGCCATTACGGCCTGTTGTCATAGCGTAGCGTCTCGACATGTTTGCGAAACATGAATGCGATCACCGTTCGACTGTCGTGCTACCGATAAACCGATTGGTCTGGGAGTTGCATGATCCCTCTTGGGAAATAATTGGTGGCACCACGAGGGAAGAAAATAAAGAAAGAAAGGGGGTTGGCGAATGTCGAAGGGGCGATGGTTCAGATCGCGGGGGATCTCGAGGGGTGGACAGAGGGCCCAATGAAGACTGGGAGAGTAAAAGAAGAAGGATAAAGAAGAAGGGATTGGTCTAAAAGAAGGAGAGAAGAGGACGAGAAGAAAGGGGTATAGAAAAAAATTCACGTCCCGTCCTCGGCTCGTCGCAAGTTATTCCAACCTCAAGCTCAATGTCTAGAGATTGATATTCAAAATCTCGTGGAGGGCGAGACGATTGGTCTTCCAGTCCAGTCGGCTGCCCAAATGAATGAAACCTGTCTGTTCGAGGTGCAAGGGTCGCTAACGAGGACGGGATTTTGCCGCTAAGAATATTATTACTAGTATCACTCCCCAGACGAGTCCGGACCCCTGCAGCTTCAGGAGCTCTCTCCAGCAGAGAAAACTGTACCTGTTTTCAGGTTCGTTTCCCCAAGATTTCTAGTACAAGAGTACATTGAACCAGCAAAAATGCTTCCAGATTTCACTACTGCTTTGGCGGCCCAACTCTGCCAGGAGTGGCTTAGTGCCTCAGAGCTCTCCAGGTGCTGCTCCAAAATCCCAAGATCCCCATGACTGAGACTGCGAGAGCGGGACCGGGAGCTCTCAGAAACACGTGACTACCAGCCACCGCCCTCGAGAAGCTGGTGTGGCCCGGGCCTCCTTCCTCATTACGTGAGCTTTTTCCCAGAGGAGGGTGCGATGCACGGCGGGCCAGCACCAGTGCTTGGAACGGGTTCAGCCTAGCGAAGCAGGCGTCGCATGGGGCTGCTCCCCCGAGCTTCGTCATGTCATCCTGACCTCCACCACCGGCTGAACCTCACCAACACCCAACAAGCGACAATCCACTCAACCGCCCCGTCCGCCGGCCTTCGATCGCAAACGCACACCCAAGATCATTACGCACTCGACGGGTTAATAATTTTTTCTCCTCTCTCGAACTTTTGATCGATCGATCTCAGTGTTTCCTCTCCGGAATCCTCGTCTGCCTGGCCACCCCCACTGCGACCTGCAGACCCGCTTAATCCGATCAACCGCCGACGACTAGGCACCACGATCATGGAGGAAGAGCGACTCTGGAAGTTCCGCAAGCCCGAATGGCTTAACAGCATCTGGGCCCGGAATGCCGGTGTATACGCCGCTGGCGGCCTTGTAAGCGCCCTACCTATCTCTCTCTCTCTCTCTCTCTCTCTCTATTCCTCATAGCTTCATTACCGACTCCTCTCCAATTTCATTCCCACCTTCCCACCTCATCGAGCCCTTCTTCTCTCCAACAACGGCCGTTGCTAACATGAAGGACCCTCCTCCTCTTCTCTCTAGTTCTCTCTCGCCTTCTACGTCATGCTCGATTCTGCCGTCTGGTCCAAGTCTACCAAGAACGGCTCCGACAGCGTCCACGTCACCTTTATCGACTGGCTACCCCTCATCTTCTCCTCCCTCGGAATGCTCATCATCAACAGCGTCGAGAAGCAACGGCTCAGCTCTGACTCTTGAGCTACTCCGGCTCCGGTGTCGCCTGGAAGGCCCGCGTCGTCCTCTTTCTCGGTTTCGCCGCCCTAGCCGGAGGCATGGCTGGTGGTGTCACGGTCTTCGTCCTCAAGTTCGTTGTCCAGGACGTCAAGATGCCCGCTCTGGGCATGGGCATTGAGAATGTTGTTGCGAATGCGCTGGTTGGCCTAAGGTACGAACTAACTCTCCCTCCCTCTCTTTCTACCCTACTACACCCTCTGCTGCACGAGTGATCATGCTAATACGGAACGTCTTGAATTAGCTCCGCCGTACTCTGGATCAGCCAAAACATGGAGGACGAATACTCTTACAACCTCGCTCTATAAGAAGAGAAGTCGAAACCATGGAACCATCGGCCAATAACAGCGTCTCGCAAGGAATGAGGTGACCATTGGATGGAGGAAGGGAATAACGGGAGGATTTGGGAGAGGTATGGCATCATGCTTCAACGAGGTAATGTTGCGAAACAGAAACACAGAATTAGCACGCCCGTTTGGGCTTATCCTTGTATCACTACCGGACAAAGGACGTCCTCACAAAGAAATTTTCTTTTTATTTCCTTTCTATCTATTGACTGCTCCGTTTACGATGCGTAGGTGTTCAAGGAACAATGCATATGTTGGTATACCATTCCCGTGACCTCCTTCATTTCGTGTTCTTCGTGGACGTCATATCGCATTCCCTCTTACTTGCGCTCCTTGCGCTCCTTGCGCGCTCCGCCCACCTGTGACCCATCGACATTGCCGGCCTCGTCCACTGCGAAGAGTGATGCCTCGTCGCTACGCACCTCATGGTCACCGCATGGACAGACAAACTCGCCCGACGGTTTACGACGCCAGGGTCCCGCCCAGAGACAAATGTGCGTCTTGGAGAGCGTACCTCCAATCTGCGCATCCTTCTCCGCAGTGACCTCTAGCGGGTTCCGCTCCCGAACTGACGCGGCCTTGGCCGGGCCAGGCGGGGGCGTCCCAGTCCACGTCCTAAAGAGGAGAGATCGCCTCGGCTCCGTAGCCTCCGTGCCTGACTGCTTGAGGGGCGACGCCTTTGGCCCACGCCCAAGGGAGAGCGATCGCGTCAGGCTAAAGCGAGATCTGGTCGGGTAGCTGTCGAATGAGGGAAAGGCCTCGTAGCTTGACCCAAGGGAGACGCTTCCTTCGGTAGTAGCCCGGTCCTGTGCCGGGGTTTTTGTTGCTGCTCTCGGAGGGCGCAGTCGACCGGTACGGCCGGTGCGACAGATAGGTTGGCGAAGGCCGTTAGGACGTCCTTGCTTCGCGTTCGCTGGTGCGACATTTGCCCAGGTCGACTCGTAGGCTGGTGCGACGCAACCGGCTCAGTAGACGTAGTGGTCGTGGCTTCGGCACCACCTATCATGGCGGCAGTGGGTAGGACGGGGCCCGGGATTCGGTCCTCGTCCAGAGGGGTCGTCATTTTGCCTCCAGAACGCGCGTTTCATCGATGTAATAGCGAGGCAGTTGCCTTAAAAGCGTTTTCGCAGAGGCTTTTGTTTTTCTGTAGCCCCCTGATATAAAGCATTTGTAAGTTCCTGTAAGACCAATATGTGAGATCGATCCCCGATTAGCTTTTGATCATTTTCTCCAAGATTTCCCATGTTTGTTTTGAAAGGGGGCGCAAGATGGCGATTCCGAAAACTGAAGAGCTCAAGTTGCCTCGTGACTGGGTGAACATTGTCTCGGCTCCCCGGTTTTCGGTATACGTAGTTATGACGAGGCGGGATCCCAGCCCAGACAAGGGTTTTCTTCAGACGTACCTTTCGGAATTAATTATTTGACATTCGAAAATGATTTCTCTCGTCTTCTTTTTTTATTAATCTCCCAGGGGAGAGGAATTGATGTGTGGTACAAATATCGAGGTCGAGGTTGGGTTTGGGCGGAATGCCCGAGAATCGAGGCTGGTTGAGGGGAGATGGGAGGAAGAAGGATAAAGAAGGGAGAAAGGGAAAAAGGAAGAGAAGAGGATAAAGCAAGGCAGGCTGAATAAATATGGACTTCTGCGCCCAAAAAGAAGAAGAAGAAAAGAGTTGAGAGATCGTCGCACTCAGGTTCTCAGGATGTCTTGCTGCCAAAGGATGGCTCAAAGCAGCCGGGCAAACCATGTTCTATGCTGTGATGATTAGGGGAAGGACAAGAATCACCCAATAAGTATCACATCTAAGGTTCACCTAATGAAGGTGCATTCTTCTCAGGGGCATTGCCTGAACCAGGAATGTCTATGGCCTCAGACAAGTGCTTATATCGTTTCTGCTTAATGACATCTTTCGAGATATGAGAGAGCACTTCGGTACCAAGACGCGCCTTGTCATACTGGAGATCTTCCAGCACGATCGATTGCAAAATGTACCCAGCCACCGTCGTGACGAGCAGTGGTGGGTCGCGGAGGATAGCGGCAATAGCGTCAAGAGTCAAGTCTGGATTCTCCCTCCAGATATGGAATGCTCGAAGCTTGGCATGCGTAGCAGTCACAGTGGTCTTTCCCGCACGATACTCTGCTGCCCAAGTCTCGGCAGCAAGGATGCGGTCATCATCTGAGGAGGAGCATCGTGAAAGCTTGGGCTTTTGACCCGGCGGTTGGGGGTGCGTCGAGTCGTACTAGGAGAAGTGGTACCAGGGGAGACAGCTCCGGGAGAGACAGCATCGGGAGAGGCGTCGCTGGGGATGGCAGCGAGATCATTGGCTGCAACTGAAGCGCTTTCCGCGGCAGGTGCGGGAGCTGTTACGTTGAAGCTCAGCCGGATAGGGAGGTCAAGGTCCGCGTGGAACGGGCGCGGAGGGCATGGGTCAAGGGCCATGCGCTCTTTTTCGAGAACGTGATACAGCTGGAGGCCTACGTAGGCGTCCGACGCCGAGTCTAGATTTGTGCTCGTCAGCTCCCCGTTGCGGCTAGCTGCGTTGGTTCCAAAGGGGCTTCAAAGGAATTGCCACTTACATAGGATCTGGGACATGTTCAACGGCCTGGACCAATGACTAGACCGCACGTCCTGGCCTTTGAACAAGGGAAGGCCGAGGTACTCCTCCACCTGCGTCGCCAGCGGGACGAGTTTCTTGTTCACCATTTTCGGCATGCCCAAGTTGCTGTACTTGACAAGCCGATATAGATGGCTGAGCTCGAAGAGGCCCTTTGACTCAACCTTGAGGAATTTGAACAGCCGTGAGGCATCACCCTTGATGGCAACGCCAACTTTGGTGACCTCGGGGTCTTCCATCAGCTTCTTGAAAGAGGGCGCCAGCATGGCATCCCTCGCGGGGAACTGAGCGACGTGAAACAGGGCGATGCGGCTCGGGCTCGCAATCTGAATGAGGGAGACGTTCGGTTTAGGCCCTTCGCCTGCGGTGGCCATTGCCTCCCACTCCATATCAAACCCAATCACTGGCTCGTTGAGAAAATACTGACAAGCTCTCTCCGTCGAGTGCTTGGTCTTGCAGTAGTGAACCTTGACCCTCTTCTCAATCCCATCTACTAACGGGCCCCGATACATGGTGTACGACCAGAACGACCCAGGGGTGCCCTCCTTCGCCATCTTGGCTTCCCTGAAGAGCTTTTCGGAGATGTTGTACTCTAGTGACGTAAAGGGAACCTTCAGAGCTGTTTCATCCTCCTCCATGCCTTCCTCCAGCCCCGACCCCGAGTCATAGTCGAGCCCGTGGCTGGGGCCTGGAGAACATGGAGAGATCAGGTCAAGATCCGGAGCCAGCGCGAGGTTATCGACGGGGCCAGGCTCAGGCTCTGCAAATGCGCCCGAGGTGTAAAACCGAGACATGTCAAGCACGGGATAGAGCACGGCATCCTGCCTGGGGGCAAATCGAATCCCGTGGCTGGGCTCCCAGAGGCGGCCGGATGGAGAAGAAGAGCTCATTTTGCAAAGAAGGATGGGTTTTATTAGTCCAGAGCATAGATGGGATGTCCAAGCCAGCTTCCCCGACAATACATGTACGCAGGGGGACTGTGGATATTTAAGAGATGGACGGGGCGGCATGGCCGTAAAAACACCAAAGATGTGAGGAAAGCGAGGTCCTGCATTCACTTCATGCTATCTTGCACTTATTGGATGGAAAGTAACATTTGATTGGATTTGGGAAGGAGAGGCTGGCGGAAAGAGATGTGATGGTGGCTCCAGTGGCACTCTAGGCAGAAGCAGCAACCGCTGGGTGGGCAAGGGTTCTGAACGAGTGTGGCGGCAACTCTGAGATGCGCGTTGGAGGGTACACGCTTGTCCCGGTGGCGAGGAGTATCAAGGCGAGGATCCGGTGGCTAACTGCAACCAAAATGATTTTATTAACAAGGGACGGACGTTCTCCCTTTCCATCCTTCGAATTGAAATTGAGCTGGACCAAGGAGATGCTGGGGAAAGAGGTGGGGTGTGTGCTTAGTCATCGAAAGAGCACAAGCAATCGTGAGCTGGAGTGGCAGGGGAGAAGAGTGGGCTGGCCGCATGCCGATTCCCACATCCTCGACCGCGATCGTCTCGAGTAGTTCCAAGCGGTCCGTTCAAGGTAAAACCACAGTACGTTGTAGACTCGACCCAGTTCCCATTAGGGGCCATATACAAAAAGGACATCACTTCTGACTGCCCTCCCTGACAGCTCTCAGCTTCACAATGGCTGCTCCACCAACCCAGTTGCTTCCTTTAGGTAAATTTATCTCGGCGTCGGTGGTGGTCACCCCACCATGACTGGCCGTAGTAGCCACATCCCGACCTGCAGATTGCTAACTCGTCTGCTGATAGAACTCATCGACAAGTGTGTCGGCTCAAAAATATGGGTCGTCATGAAAGGTGACAAAGGTCGGTCTTTTACCTGGCTTCACTCGATGGCCATCTGCAGTCGTCTTTGCCCTATCCACTGACCACCTTCACGCTGCAGAGTTCAGCGGTACGCTCTTGGGGTTCGACGACTACGTCAGTAAGTGCTCGGCGTTTTTCCAACAGAATTATTGATACGAACCGCAGTATCTAACCTGCTGACTTTTTAGACATGGTTCTTGAGGACGTCACTGAATTGTAAGGGCTTGTCCGGGTGTCATTTGGTGATGGCTCTTTGAACAGATCTGACAGGAAGCGAATAGTGACTACTCCGGCAACCACACCAAACTTCCCAAGATTCTCCTGAACGGAAACAACATTTGCATGGTAAATAACGATGCCCTTTGGTCCACTACTTAACAAGCTTCCCCGTATCGCTAATCGCGCGCTAGCTCATTCCCGGCGGAGAGGGGCCCGTATCATGAGAGGAAAAGCATTGCTTCGGCATCCCAGGCCACCCCTCAAGATCTTCGAGGTCGAACCACAGCGGCGTTCTGCGAGAGTAAAGGCAGGATGGTATCTACAAAAGGAAAGAGTGAAAACACACGCTACTGATGAAATACATGTTACCCTCCACTAGAGCAGAGTCTCTGGTCTCAACCTATGACAGTGATGAACTCCGTATAGCTCGGGAACCCACTCAACTCTTTGGATAAGAGCGCATAAGTTCAAAGTACCGACGAAGGGATCAATAAAATAAGTCAAGACAACAAATATGTCCAAAATGTGCCTTGGGTTCTTCGATATATGTGTTGGCCTTCCCAGCTATCCCAACAAATCCCCAGCAGCTCCCTTTACTGTGTCTTGTTTTCTATCTGTTTCCGACTTGGTTGTCGTTCAGTTTATAAAACGTACAAGGTTTAACTAGTAGTAAAAAGAAGAAAAAAGCCCTCAACTCCATGGAAAATGATACGATGTCCCGCGTGCCTCATCAAGTAAGAAACCAAAAAACGATTTTCTTTTTAACAAAACAAAACAAAAAGGCAATATGTTGCGTCATCTCAAGCCATACTTCTTTTGATTTCACGGGTTTCCGTTTTGATTTTGCTCTCCTTCTGTAACCATGCGTCGGAGCTCCCATTCTCTTGTGAACTCTTGGCTCAGATGGTTTAGGTCTCGGAGCAGCTTCTCAAGAACGGAGAGAAGCGCCTCCTTGGGAGTGATGCTGCCGTCCGTCTGGATCCGGATAAAAAGCTCAGGAACATTAGGATGGGGAACTGGAGAACTAGGTTAGTGGCTGGGTTTTCTTTTTAGAGCGCGGGGCTAGCTGCGACGGGAGCATAGGGGTTGACAACGAACTTTTGTAGCCGGCGAAGAGGACATTGCGGTGCTTCTTGAGCTGCTCGGAGACCACGTTGCCAATGGTGTGGTCCTCTTTCTTGATAACAAAATCGGAGCAGTTGGGAATCGCTAGAGGATTGTTAGCCTGGGTTCCAGGACAAGCGAGACCACAGGGATCGGGCTGGGAGAGGTTAACCTGTGAATGGAACCTCGTCGCACTTCTTCTCTCTCCGAGGAGGAAAAGCTCGAACCTGGCTCCTGGTTAGACACAACTATACAACGGTATCATGGGTAAAGAGAAGTAGAGGCAAGCCAAGATCCCGTGAACAGACGTGGAAGATGATAATGGCAGGCCTGACGTCGAGTGACGGGTAGAAACGACCGGCCCCGAAAGACTTGTTGTAGAGGCAACTTACCTATCGGGCGCGTTCATATTTTAGAGAGGTGAAGATGATGAAATCAAAAAGGAATGGCGGCCTAGCCCTGGGTAACGCGGGTAGTAGGGCGAGGACGAGGGCTCGATGAGATGTGGAAGGCTGTGAGATTTGTGAGATTTGTGAGACTAGGGCCAATTTGGCGTATGCCGACAGAGACGCCCAAATTTGATGTGCTAATGAGGCGAGGGTCAGGATTTTCGAAATATTCTCACAACGATGAGAGTTGAATGAAACTCTATGAATTAAAGAATCGCAATGTCGAGGGCTGGTGCAACGGATTCCTGTAGATCGACGCGAACTCGAATTGAACCGCCCATGAGCTCGAGTTGCAAGGACGTCGTCAAATTACATAAGCAACACCCTTTGGGTGGGTTCCACTCCCAATGCTCGCAGATGTGTGAATGGTTGACGAGTGCCCTTTTCGCTGGCAGGTGCGTGCCATTTTCGGAATACTCAATACCTCTAAGCTTGTTGTAGTCCTCACATAAGAATTCAGTTCACAAATAATACACTACCTCCGTCTATAGGTCCACATTGTTTCTATTACTAGTACCCTTTAGACGGGTTTCCTCTTTTCTTTCCCTTTTCTATATACATATAGATATAAAGAACTAAAATCCTTAACCTCTATACCCCACGGCGCCTTGCACCCCCTGTGTTCCTTCATGCCCAGAATCTCCCTTCGCCAACTCCGCCAAGCCTACAAAGTCTCTCCCTTCCTCTCCCGCCTCCTCCCAGCCTGCAGGGACCTCGCCTCCGCCCAAAACGAGCTACGATGGCTACGTGACCACCACGCCGCCGCCCCGGCGTCGCGACGGCGGCCCCTCGCAGCCCTGTGCGAAGAGAGGCGTCGCGGCGTCCCCTCCAGTACATCCTGGGCACCCAGCCCTTTGGCAACCTCGACATCCGGTGCGGCCCGGGCGTCCTGATCCCGCGGCCCGAGACCGAAGCCTACACGGAGCACCTGGCCAGCCTCCTACGCGGACTGCCGCTCCACACCCGGCGTGATCTCAAAATCATCGACTTTTGCACCGGCACCGGCTGCATCCCCTGCTCCTCTACTCGCTCCTCGCCAAGCGCTTCCCGGGCCTCGTTGTCGAAGGATTCGACATTTCTCCCGCCGCCTTGCGCCTCGCGAGACGTAATCGGGCCTCCGCGATCGCGTCGGGTCACGTACCGAGCCCGAGCCCCGCGCAATCACTCTCCTTCCGCTACGGCGATGTCCTCTCAAGCGCTGGGTCGATACGCACCTTGCGAGTTCGAGATGCGACGTTCTCGTCTCGAACCCTCCCTACGTTTCATCCCAAGCCTGGAGCTTGGCCCAAGAAGGTCTTAGCTACTCGACCCGGAAGTACGAGCCAAAGTTGGCTCTCGTGCCAGGTGACCATGTGGATGTGCCTCGAGGTGGCTGGCTGCACGAAGATGCGTTTTACGCCGCGCTGCTAGACATCGCGCTGATCGTCCAGCCGAGCATTGTTCTCTTCGAGTTTGGGGGTGACGTTCAGGAGAACGGATTCTACGGCTAGCCATGACGCATGCCTTTGCCAAGGATGCAGACTTCGAGTTATGGCGAGATTATCCGTATTTACAGGCTAGTGATGTGGCTGATGCCGACGGTCACGAGTTTCGGGTGACGGATAGTTTTGGCAGCAATAGGGTGGTGCCCGTGAGAGGCAATGGAAATATCAGATCCCTTTTCATACGGAAAAAGGAGGTTGGCCATGTGTAACGGATATGAGGGGCGGAAATGTATATACAATGTGTAAAAGTAATGGTTCATAGCTCGTCTCTTAACATGATACCCCAGCGGACTGCATAAAAGCCTACGCCCAGCCTTGGAATCTAGTGCCCATAGTTCCAGACTCGAGCATTTCTGCCAAGATGTCCCATTTGACCCCTGCCGAGTGACCCGTTGCCCTCGCCACAGCTCTCAAGCCTTCCGTCACAAACCTCAAATGTTTGTCAAAGGCCGAGTGCAGCGTCAAAACCGTCTCTCTAAACGTCTTGATTTCGTAGTGATCGGGAGGGTATGCACGCGCTGCCTCGTCATCCTCACTCGCCGCATCGCTATCGTCGTCGTCATCCGAAAGGTTTGCATTCCGCCTTGGAGTACGCGCAGGTGTGGCTCGCATTGGGGCACGAGGGGCGATGTGATGAAGGAAAGCCGGGAAATCTCTTGCATTTCCTCATTTTCTCTCCTTGCGTTGAGCACGTAGGCCTTCTCGAGCTGGATCGTCAAATCAACGAGATCGAGGATGGCTTCTCGAATAGGCGCAAGCTTGCTTCCGAGGCAACACTCGTCCATCACTTGTTTTGTGAAAGCAAGATGTACCTCAATCATGGAATCGACATCGTGGGAAGATTCTAGATCTAGCCGCAGTTTCGCGCAGTTGGGAGCCAGCACAAGGGTTGTCAGGTAGCTGTGAAATGTGTTGCAAAACCAGAGAAGCTTTGCACGTACTAGGTAGTAAGCACTCCGGTCGTCCCAGTTATCTCCGTCGGTCGTGTCGTTGGCAAGAATCCGGTGCTTTTTTAACATGTAGGTTGCGCGGCGCAACTGCAGAAGGAGGGTATAGACGGCCTTGTACCGGGATATGCTCTCCTCGGCTAGTATCATTTGCACTGGCCAGCGGACGTTGTAGCTGAGCGAGATTGTTGGCAGCAGCTTCCGAACAAAGTCCCGCGCAGCTGAGGTAGGTATGCCATGGCCTTGTTGCGTGATCGCGACGGATAGCCGGTGGTGCGGAATACTGGGAGAGTAAACCTCCTGGGCTAGAGAGGTCAACGTATACCTATCTCGACAGCCAGCGCTGAGCACGTCGAGTTTCTTGAAGAGAGAGGTGGAGAAGACCTCTGCGAGAGAGCCATCGGACATGAAGTAGAGTTGCTGCAAAACCTCAAGATCCGTCGACAGCCCGCACGACTCGAGGAGCACGCGTTTTAGATTGATAGCCGTTGCCTGGTGCTTGCTCCGAACCCAGCGCTCAAAGACGTCGTTGAAAAGCTCGGTGAAGGGAGCAAGGTCCGAAGCTGACGAAATCACAGAGTCGAAATCAAAGGCGGGCTCGTTTTCTCCGCCCAGATCCTCCCGTACGGGAGTGTACTTGCCTAGGTGTTTGAGAATCACGATGCTTTTTCCAGCGATGAAGATCTTGTTAGCGGAGGGTCAGGAAACGAGGCGCGTACAGGGCGCCATCCGAAGTCTGCCTGAGCCGGAATTGGCCCTTCCAGACCTGGTTGAGGGGTACGTGAGTGGCCGATTCGGAGACAAAGAAAATTTTGTCTCCTGGTATTAGTTCACCTTCCCTCATCCAGAGCCTCATGGGGCGCAGGTAGTAGCGGAAGCATTCGAAAAGATTCGGCCTAAAGCATCGTAGGTCGCCATTCTCCCGGATATCTGGGCAATGCCAATCTCGTGAAACAGAAGCTCGAGGTACCCGAATGCGCCCCTATGAGAGTCCTCGAGATGCTGTACGATATCCGACAGTTTTTGTAAGGGTTCTGGGGAGCCTTTAACTCATTGAACACGGCGACCAAGCTAATGACGATATCCTGCTCGAGTCGTAAAATGCGTATTTCGAGTTCAGTGGCTCGAGCGTCGAAGGGACGCAAGGAGCGCGACACACAGTCCTGGAAAACCTGGATGTGGGGCGCAGTCTGAGGTTGGCAAGCAAAAGCGCGCAACACGCCGAGTTGCCGGCCGGTTGCGGCAAGAGAATCCATTATTGATTTATACGCGTCACTCGAGACGTTGGCGAGCTGGAACACAAGGTTGGGCTCATAATCTTTGGAGAACATGGTTGTTCTCTGCCCCCGGAGCATCGACAAGACCTCGCGAACTACTTGAAGTTCTGGAACAGTAGGTTTTGGGGACTGACTCGTAGAGGGTTGTGTTGTTGCATATGCTCTCCACTCTTGGGCTCGTTGGAGCTCTTCAAGCGTCGTATCATCCCGAGATTCGGTGATATAATCGGTTGCTACTCGTGCCGGGGCTTCGGCCTCAGACTGGTTGGATCTAGAGGAATGAGAATCGCTGGCGGTGTCGGATAGATAACCTTGTTCAATATCACTCCCCGAGTCGTCATACTGCAAGGAAGCCCAGAGATCAGGGTCATCATCCCAACCATCCTCCTTGGCAATGTCTTCCCACCGAAGCTGCGGGCCATCTTCTGGTGCGGGCTGCCGAAGAGCGTCAAGATCATCGAGGCTGGTGTTCTGCAGGGGTCGATCGGAGAGCTCGAGAAGGAGATGAAGGAAGTCGGGACGCCATTTTTCCGGGACAGGGTCTAACCTATCTAGTCCATCGCGCAGCGCGTCCGCCAGAGCTTCACGATGGTGCACCCGAAAGGTTTCCTCCAGCCCATTCAAGGTCTTCTCTACCTCAAACTGGTTCGTGCGGAGAAACCCATGATTACGGAGGCGGCGCAACGCTCGTTCGCGATATGAGGTGAATTGTGCGGTTTGCGACTATTGGCGAGTTAGAAGGGGAATAGCGCGTGGGGGCGTGGAGGACGTGGAGGACGTGGAGGAACTGCGGCCGATATGTCGGTGCAGCAGCGTACCAACGGACCTTTGCGGAAGTTCCAGTGATGGCCTCGACCAATTCGCCAGTGAGTGAACTAAGATGTGCATGGAAGGCCATGGCGGATGAGACTTTCTTTTATTGACTGTCGGTTGGTTCTACTTGACAGGTATCATCTTGGGAACAGACTCCAGTGCATGCTAGCATGCGGGAGTGGCACCGCGGAGAGAAAGACCCTTCACAGAGTGAAAGGCAGATGAGGTTGTAGATGGGTTGATTTGGTGGGGGTATATTGTGGATTTCCATCCACTTTACGCGACCACCCAACGCGCTTGCAGCTGGACCCGTCTTGTGAACATCGCCCGGTGATTGATTGATGCTGACTAATCAAATGCAACCTTTAGCGCAAACTTCGACTCAAGCTCCAACAAAAGCCAGGGATGCAAGGGTCGCCGATGCTACCTGCCACTGCCAAGCTTGCCCATCCCTGTGAGGTGTGAAAAGCCGCGTCAAGAACGCTCTGAACGCGCAAGACACGTCGCAATTGACTGGATGAATCAAAAGAAAAAAAAGCCCCCTTTTTCCGCGCTCTCTCCCGTCTTTGCCGCAGCTAGTTTGCAAAAACCAAAGGATCCGATCGGATTTTTCAATATTGACTCTTGAGTGCTACCGTCCCGAAGGCAAACTGGAAGTTTAAGACCCTTGAGCAAGACACCACTCATGCAGGTTTTCGAAATCCCGGAACGAGTAAAACAACATTGAAGATAGGGGGCTACACATGGATTTACTGAATCATGATGATTGTAAACTCAGCTTCGCCGGGTGGAAAAGGGGAGCTCAACGTCGCTGAGACACAAGCTTACGTGATAATCATGTTATGTGTGGTTTCTCATTGTCCATGGTTAAATATCTTGATTATTCCAAGAGTCAAGCTTACTTTCCCCATTTGACTGAAAGCCTTGGAGACGTTGTGTGGTATCGAAATTGCGAACCAAGAGTTGGCTGTTTTCCATTTCATGTTTAATCAAGAAGCCAAGCCGTATCACTCTATCTTGCATTCTGGACCCGCCTTCTTCTCAGCCACAGTCACCCCTTCTTTAGACTTTGGGCCTTGATTTTTTTTTCTTGCTCCCTTCCGTCAAGACCACTCCGAGTGGCTGCCTGTGCTTCGTTTCACGCTCTCCCAATTCATCCATCTATTCTTCTAACCATTGGAAACTCTATTCCCTGGACTTTCCCTTCTTTTCCTTTTCCTTTTCCCTTCCATTTCCTTTCCTTCTTGGCCCCACTCGCGCAGTCCTAGTGCTCTCCAGGAGCTATCGAGCTTATGCAGTGATTGAGCCCCCTTTTCTCGCAATCGAATTTGGGCCATCTATCCATCATTCATCATCATCGCCCAATCTAATCCATTTTGCCACGTTCTCTAGCCCAAAAGAGGACGAAATCCTCGACGACAGCCCCTTTCCCGACCTTTTGCCCCGATTTGCATCGCGACGCTTTCTTCGTGACGACGGACCAGGCCTGCCTTGTCGCAATTTTTCTAAGCATCCGATTGTCGACATCGAGGCTTGACTGCCATCGTCTATATTCTTGCGCAACCCCCTTTTTCCAGCATGGGCGTCGCGAGACCCGTACGGGCCCTCGGGCTCGGCGCTATTATCCTGTGGTGTTTCTTCCTCTATCAGATATTTTCCCCGGACCAGCCGAGGACAAATGTGTTGAAACCCCAGAGCCTGGAACACGACCCTATGGTCGATCGTAGGTCAAGCCCGCACGCACCGCGAAGCCTCACTCCGAGGCAGCCGCGAATCGATATTGAATACCCGTGGGCTAACCCATTACTCTCTATTCTAGCCATTGGTGAACCCGAAGGAATGCTACACCGCACCTCCCCCGATACGCCCCCGGCATCACCGATTCAGACCGGATCAGCGCAACTTTGCTCGCTCTAGTGAGGAATGAGGAGCTCGAAGGCATGGTTGAGGCGATGAAGGACCTTGAGAGGACCTGGAATCATAAGTTTAACTACCCTTGGACCTTCTTCAATGATGTTCCCTTCTCGGAAGAGTTTAAGCGTCAAACCTCTGCTGCCACGAATGCCGAATGCAGATATGGTACGCTTCATCCTCAGATTCCCCGTCGCTATCTTTCCATCCTTTGCCCCGTTTCCGTTCCAACCACTCTTCAATGCCTCACCCAACTAGCCCTCTTATGTCTAGCTAACCGTTCCCTTTGCGTCTTGTAGAGGTTATTCCGAAGGAACACTGGGAGGTGCCTACTTGGATCAACTCCGACGTGCAAGACGCATCGGCTCGTTTGCTCAAGGACAACGGTGTCCAGTATGCCTCCATGACTTCCTACCACCAGATGTGTCGATGGAACAGTGGCCTCTTTTACAAGCACCCCGCTCTCAAAGACGTCCAGTACTACTGGCGCGTAGAGCCCAATGTCCACTTTTTCTGCGATGTCGACTACGACGTCTTTAGGTACATGCAAGACAATAACAAGACGTACGGCTTTACCATCAACCTCTACGACGATCCCAAGTCCATCGAGACGCTTTGGCCCGAGACCCTCAGGTTCCTGGCCGCAAACCCCGACACCCTCGCCGAGAACAACGCTATGCCGTGGTTGACCGATAGCCTCCGCCGCCCCGAACACAACTCCAAAGCCAACGGTTATTCTACCTGCCATTTCTGGAGCAATTTCGAAATCGGCGACATGACCTTCTGGCGAAGCAAAATCTATGAAGATTATTTCAACCATCTTGACCGAGCTGGTGGCTTCTTCTACGAGCGTTGGGGAGACGCGCCTGTTCACAGCATTGCCCTCGGCCTGTTTGAGGATGCTAACCGCATCCACTGGTATGTTGTTCCCGCATCAGCCTATCTTGTGCGTCCCCTCTGTGCCATGCACTAACATGTATCTTGTAGGTTCCGTGACATTGGCTACCAACACGTGCCTTTCCTCAACTGCCCCAACTCGCCCAAATGCAAAGGATGCGAGACTGGCAAACCATACCAGGGCGAAGACTTCCTTCGACAAGAGGACTGCCGGCCCAACTGGTTCAAGTTTGTTGGTCTTGGCTAAGGCACTTGGGCTTCCCATGCCGCTTAACATTCCGCTCGCCATGCCATCTTCAATCTTTGCATAGACGGGGGCGGGGACAAGAAACAATTCAGGAGCGAGACCTTGATAGAAAACAGGTTCACGCGGGACTTAAAAATAGGGTGGCGACATCGGTCGTGATGATGGCATGGCCTGATCAGCCGGCTGCCCACGGATAACGATGTTTTTTTTCTTTTTTTCGTTCTTTTTTTGTTTTGCAAGGACTACTACCATTATGGAGGTGTTTGGGCGTTGGATCACGAATCATGCTTGCCAACCCATATACTATTATCAACGACTCCGTTCCGGGTGTTTGTAGCCCAACCCCTAGAGGGCTGGGTGCCGGTTGAGATATTCCCAACCTTTCTAATTCGATTTGACAGCCAAGGGAGAAGGACGAGGGATAACCTGTATGTATACACATGTAGCATTAATATTTTTACGACGAAAAGAGATGAAGGTCTTGAAAAGGCAACGAGCAGAACCCTCTCCCAATGTTGAAATGTTGTGACAGTGCAATGTTGTGACAGTGTTTTGTTGAACCCCAAGCCTCGAGCCATCAATATGCAAGCACGCACGCTCGCAAACACCCCGATCACTGGCCCATGGAGGCCGCCCTTTCGGATGGCTTTGACAGTTAGCCGGCACCGTAAACAGTCACCGTGCCCGAGATTCCCCGGCGCAGAATTGGTTTCCCCAGCCGCCTTCCTTCCAAGCTAAGCAGCTAATGATGTTGTTCTGCTTCTTTTCCTTGCCGTCCCTCCCCACGACCCGCTTCCGGTTCTGCAGGCCCCCAGGCCCCCAAGGCACCTGGATCCTGGCCACCACTTTGCCCGAGAGGAGGTCCCACGCCCAGATTCTACCCTCGCCGGCGTCAAGGGTGGCCTCGTCCGCGCCCAGCAGCTCGTCGCCGGCAACGACGAACCTCTCCCGCCCGCCCAAGACGGCCTGGACCCGAAGCTCCTTGTTCTGCCAGGCATCGCCCTCGAACGTCTGCAGACAGGTCCCTTTCTCCCTGTCCATGAGCCGCAGCTTGCTGTCCAGCGTGCCGACGAGCATGGCGGCGCCGTCCCTGGTGATGTCGAGGCCGGTGACGCTCGCGCCCATGGTATCCACGGTGCACCGGCCCATGCGGATATCGTAGGCGCGGACGCGGCCGTCGACGCTCCCCGCGACGATCTCGGGCCCGCGCACGGCGAGGCAGGTGACGGCGTCCCGGGCGTCGTCGAGCACCTGGATGGGCTTGGGGCTCTGCGCTTTCACGTCCCAGATGCGCACCGAGGTGTCGAACCCCGGACACGAGCACGCTGTCCGCGTCCCCGCCGAAACTGACGCAGTTGACGCGCGCCGAGTGGCCCTGCGGACCGCCGCCGAAGCGCCGAATCGTCTGCGCCGTCGCCACGTCCCAGAGGAACACGAGGCGGTCGCCCCCGCGGAGGCGAACCGCTCATTGTCCGAGGACACGGAGATGCTCAGCACCTCGTAGCCGTGCGCCGCGTACGTCTGGATCAGCTTGCCCTGCGGTATGGGCGGCGTCGCCGTGCGCCCCCGGGTCGAGGCGGAAATGGTGTTTTCTGCCGGGCTCGGTGCCGCCACGGTCGAGCTGGGGTTGTAGAGCCGGACGGATCGGTCTCCGGAGCCGGTGAGCACGTACGACCCCGGCGATGAAGAGTACGTTACGGCATGGACGGGTCCTAGCCCCAAGACCCGTTAGCTCCACCCCTTCTCGGGCATTTTGCGCCGGCCCACGGGAAACCCGCGAGCCAGCCTTGGGGGCGCCCTTGGCGGATGGGCAACTTACCGGTTGCGCCCACGAGTTGAGCCACTGCCTTATCGGGAAATGACATGCTTCATATTCTTTCGTTCACCACGCCGCCACCTCAGATTACAGTAGTCTCGCTGAACGCCAAAACACGACAAACGTGATGACACAAATCCCCCGACTCAATCTTGAGCGTGTAGGATTTAAACACCGGTGCACATTGGAAGACTCTTTGTGTGCGTTTTCCTGGTGGAGAGTGCCCTTCGAAGAGCCGTTTCGTCGAATTCCCTTGCAATTCAATGGAGCCTCCTGGAGTATATCAATCGCAGAAATGATCAAGGCCAGGAAACGCGGATGAGGCTGCGTTGGACACTAAAATTTAGGGCCCAAAATTTAATGCACCCCGACGCTGATTGGTTGGGCGGCAAAGATCGCGGATGGGACTGGTTTTTAGCGCGAGATATTGGCTTCCGTTCAATATCAGGTTCCCAAGTATTGATTAGAAGAATCCTGGCACCGCCATTTATCTCCGTTGAGCCTCCTCCTGCGCCTACTCGGCTGAATTTAGATCGTGGGAAATCCATTAACCAAGAACCTAGCTGTTTGCCGTGGTTCTTTCCCCCGTCCCCTTTTCAGGCTAGTGCTCAACGATTCAGTACATAAACTGGCATAGAAACACAGGATAGAAGCACACGCATTACATTAAACGTCATAATATTACATTCCCTTCACGGGAAAACAACCCCTCCAAGAGATACGATAGAAGTGCTGGAGCCAGGCGTCTCTCCAGCCATCTCATTTTGATAGCTGGAGCCACCTTCATCTCCCTTCTCCCACCGTCCCTTCATTTTCTTCCTCGGATAGGGTATTTGTTTGTGATACAAGAAGGGAGGTCCCGTAAGATATGACCAGGCGATCGATAGAGTGCAAAAGATAACACTGCTGTGACCGCCCTTCCTTTACTTCGCTCCCTTTTGGTTCGGCCGTGACATGACATGATAACCCAATGCTTCCAAGCACACTGTAGCCAACCCACCACAACCTCTTATCCATGTAACCAATTACTAGAAATTTCCCTTTAGAGAACAACAAAGACAGGTCCGGTACGCCGATGCATGCGATATATCCAAGCCGGAAAGAAGTGGCCAAAGCAGAAGAAGGAAAAGAAAAGCAAGAAAAAGATGGCGAAAAGAAAGAGAGAAAAACAGAGATAAAAAGCCCCCAGGCGAACAAACGGAATGAAAGATAATGAGAAAAAAATAACATAGGCGAAGAGAAAACAAGCCTTTGAGCTGAGGCGTAAAACGGTACCGGTTTCAGGCAAGCTACCAAAAGTGCCCCGGCGCAAGGTGCAGTAGACGAAAAACCCGCCGCTAGCGAGCACACCCCGGCGGTGCTCAATGTCTGCGATGTCGACACTCTCGTAACACAGGAGGTCTCGCTCGATAATTCGACCAAACTCGATATGGTTGTGGCCGCACCGTGAACCAAGAGATATGGGAGTCGGGGATATAGATGTAATAGAAAGAGCCGCAGTGTCTAAGTCAAAACTCGCTCGTGGGTTCCGGGGCCCCAGTCACTCCGTTGCCCCCTTCATCGAGAAGCATGTTGTCCGATCTAGGCCTTGGTGTATGATGCGGATAAGCTCTACCTCCGATAGTCGGGCCTCCTGGAAATATACACGTGTGAGTATTGGGGATATTTTCGCAGCAGCCACGTCATTCCCTTGCCAGACGATGGTCGCATTGTTTAGGCACCGTGAAAGCAAAGGACATCGGCGGGTTCGTAGTGGGAGGAGCGCGGGGTTTGGTCACATACGGTTCTGGTTGCCATGGCCTATGGAGGACGTCCTCATGGATCCGCGGTAGTTCGAGCCCTTGTGGATGCCAGGCCGTTGTTGGCTTGTGAACATCTGGTGGAGGCGGAACTCGTCGAGGCTCGCAGGGGACCGGCGAGTATCCGTCGTACCCGACCCTTATCCTCTTGTGGTGAAGAGATTCATCCGGGTTCGTAGGTCGAAATACGCTCCGAGGAGAGAGAGATTCACTAGCGAGCCGGCCGGGTCTAGATACGTCGTTTGGATTCGGCGGGCCTCCAAGTCTTCTTGGCTCCTCCGGCTCCGCGGATGGAGTCGATGGAGAGGTATTGTGACCACCACGAGGCCTAGAACATGATTGGCGTGTTAGATCAACACAGCGTGGCAGAGACAACTCTTTCCGCGGCTCCACGAACCAAAAGGGGTAACTCACGCATTCTTAAACTTGCAGATCCGACCAAACTTTTCGCACTGAAGGCATCGCGGGAAGTCTGGATCGCACTTGATCTTCTTCTCCCGACACGTGACGCACGCTATGGCTAACCTCTTTCTCGGCTTGCCAGCTTTGGTGACGCCCCAGTGAGCATTAACGGCCTCGCCATCGATCACCGTTTTACAATGGCTTCCGTCGTCATAAAAATAGCACATGCCTTCACCGGGCACCTCGGCTGCACACACAAAGCGCGGCAAAAAGTGCGTGCCCGTCCAGATCTTTGGGCCGAGACCGTCCTTCACAGGCGCACCTTCAGCGATTGCTGAGCTTGCCTGATGGGGCGATGCGCTAGAGGGTGGTAGGTGGGAAGGCCTGGGGTCACGGTGAAAGCTGGGCGCAGGTTCTCGGGAACCTGGGTAGGCAAGCTGGGGGCGGCTCTGCGGAGAAGGAAGCGGGGCCATCTCTCTGCCTCCTAGGGAGTACTCTTGCCGGGTAGGCTCGTGAGATCTGGACCAAGTAGGAGGAGGGGCGCTGTCGTATCGAGAAGGTTCATGACGCAGGTGGTCGCGACGTGGGGAGCCGGGTCTAGAGAGGGACCTAGCAGGGAGGGAGTGAAGCGAGGGCGTTCGCTCAGAGTCGAACCTTGCGTCGTAAGTGCTTCGCGGCTGGGTAGGTGGGTGAGAGGTAGGCTCGGCTTGATAAGGCCCAGAAAAGTGAGTGTGTCGATCAACGTGGGTAGACGATGTACGCGGGGGCGGTCCAGAGGCAAAACTGATGGGAGCGGCACACGCTGAGGCGACTCGTGTTGCGAGGGAGATGGTAAGGGTCGAGCCGGAGGATGAGGAAAGAGACTGCTCAGGGAAGGCAGTTTCGTGCCGCCCAGGTTGGGCGCTGGGCCCTCTCTCCGAACATGTCCATCGTCGATACTCTTTCCGGTAGATGCCATGGTCGATATAGAACTCCGGTCATAGTTGGTCATGGGAGGAGAGATGGGGACGATGGGTTTCCAGGTCTGATCCGCCGGAGGGGAAGGCCTGGACGAGTAAGTGGACGAGGTTGGGCTCACCAGTTCTGGAGGAGAGTCCGGGGCGGCCAGACGAGGGTGAGGTTCTAAGCAGTTTAATACCCCCATTGGGAGAGTCGGGGACGAGGCTGTCTTTAATGGAGTTGGACGTGAGAGAGATGATGCATGGCCAAGCTCTCAAGCATAGGGACGGCTTGCCCTTGTCGTTGATGCCGGGAGGACCACCCGCGTTGATGATCTTCGTTGGACCCGAACCTTGAGTGTGGCTGTACACTTAACGGCGTCCGGGAGCAACTATAGAGAGATCAAGAGAGAGGAAGAGAGGTGAGGTGAGGTGAGGTGAGGTGGTGAAGTGGTTAAGAGGGAAAAAAGGCCAGAGTCGAGGGCATCAGCAGTGAGGGGAGGGGCCAGGGAGAGGAATGGTTGATAGATATTGTTCGGATAAAGATCCACAGGCGGCGCAGCGGGCACACGGCTACCCTGGCCACTTACATGCCAAGGGTCAGGGGAGGGTGAGAGGAGACTAGACTGTGAGACCGATGGAGAGGAGACTGCACCTACCACAACCGCCGTTCCTCCCATGCTAGCGACTCCAGCAGGAACGGGCAAGGACGGACGGGGTACGGGAGTGGTGGGTGTGGAAGGGAGGAAGGAACACAAGGTACACCACCAACACACCCCCTCCCCCAGTGTGCTCAAGTCACTGTGGTGTGTGGAGTGTGGCTGTTTGGGGTAGGAGGTATGGGCTGGGTTCCACCTGCAAGCACGGAGGACACCACGCTGAACTGTACATCAGACCGGACACCACCGTAACGGGCGGAATGCACTGGGGTGGTTCAAATTCCGGATAATTTAGACGGGGCTATAGCGACCAGGAAAGATCAACGAAAGGAACGCAAGGTCTGTCGGGAAGGGTGGTACGGGAGGTCATGTATGTACCGTACCATATTGCACGAGTTATTGGCGGACGATGCGTTGGCGGTTCCAAACTGCTGGGCGGCAATGGTATCCCAGGTCCCGTGTGGGTGTGTATTATGCACACCTCACAAGTTATAGTACGACCTACCGAGTGGATATTAAATGGCTTTCATCCTCACCTTAGCCCGCCAAATCCTGGAGATACACCATCCGCCGCGAGTGCCACCGCTGTCCTCCACCAAGCGCAGATCTTGAATGAGGAGGGGAAGAACACAGCTTCTGGAGAGGAGCGGGAGGGGGAAGGGGGTGCGTCGCCCAACCCTCTAACTAACGAGCCCGAGGAATAGGGGTGGGTACAGACAAGGGTTGGGGTTTGTGGAGCTCAGGCCGGGCAAGAAAGAAAGCAAGAAAGCCGCCGCGTTCCAGTGGACGGAGAAGAAGCGAGAAGTGGGAAAAGAGGATTGAGTCTCGATCCCCCAATCCCTGGCTAGCTCAGACTAGTGGCAGCGCCCTTTCGCACTCGGATTTTGGGTGCCGATGAAGGTCGTGCTATTCCCAACTCTGGTTTTGGGGGCATGGCCCCTGGCCTCCACAACCGACGGGCTGGGATCGCCGTACCAGACCCAAGCTTTGCCCTGGCCAGATACTACTAGATCAAGTGAAGAGGAAGGCTTATCGAGGATAAAAGCAAAAGGTAGAGAAAAGAGAAGAAAAGACGAGGAGAAGGCCAGTGACCTGTGCTGCTGTTGTGCGCGAACCAGGATAAGGGCAAATCAGGGTGAGAAGACAATGATCCAGGGGTTCTCCACATAATTTCGCCTCGGTCACTCACAACACCCGCGAGGCTCTGTCGTTTTCAGGCGAAATAAAGGAGGGTACGTACAAGCCTTCCCGCGCCACTTGAGCAGGCCGCCCGCAATGTCCTCAATGTCCTCAATGCTCTTCCTCGTTGAGGAATCCTTCATTCACTCTTGCTTGGGAAGGTCGGCCAAAATTCAATGGTTAGATGAGACGTAATATTACTTGGTTGTCAATCCTTCAACGGACCCGAACATGCTTCTTCCGACCCTTCTCCAACGTCTGGGGCAGGGAATCGCGCAATATACTGCCAAGCCCTTTATGACCGTTAGAACCTCACACAAGCGACATGGACTGCAAGGGCTTGATGACTTTGATGAAGATGGCGAATAGCTTCAGATTAGGTTGAGGTTGCTTGGAACACACACTGGCCTCGATATTTGCTCCATGCACTACATCATATATGTAAGCAATACCACGAAATAGTGGTACCAGAGGCGATGGAGGAAACAACATGAACATTAAACTGCTTTTCTGGTCCACGCCAACACCGCCAAAAAGAAGAAAAGAATGTGTCAATAGAGGATGAGAGCGGACCAGCCTTAGACACTGGCGGACCTCATTGACCAGCTCTCCGGAGCTTCTCCCTTGACTCTAAAAAAAAAAAAAAAAAGAAGAAAAATTCTTCGACAACTTGAATCCTTTAGCCAACATAACGTGAATTAGATTATAATCGTCGCGAAGCCTTTGAACATAGGTCTAGGGGACGGACTCGGGGGCCGAGAAAGGACGAAAAGGAAAGACTAGGGAGTGGGCGATGGAGCCAGAGAAGAAAAAGGAAAAAGTAATAAGCTCATCGACGGTTGAACCAAATGGCCGAGGGAAGGGAGACAAGCGGCGAACGAGTCCCTCATCTAGCACCAAACGAGGAGATGGACTTGGCGCGTCCACACCCTCATTGCAAGGGCGGAACGTTGGAAGGTAATGTTGTTCGCTCGTTTAATTGCCATTCAAGACACTCTCCACTGGCGTATAAGGATGGTGGGGTGGAAAAGGAGGCTAAACCTAATCCCTGAGCCCTCTTCGAAGAATTATGCCGGCTCCGAGAAAGGCTCCTTCCTTGAGAAGACAAGTGTCTGGCGTTGGACAAGAGTGAGAAACGCTGAGTGACGCCATGGGAAGGAAAAACCGAACAAGCCGGTCCGGGTGGAAAGGCGCACCGCACCCTAGTTCGATCCTGTTCGGTGCTGGAGCCATTTAGGGTCGCGCGTTGGAGACCTTGAGCCCGGAAGGAGGAACCAGCACTTGCCTTTTCCGCCCACGTGCGTCTGCATCTCCTGGCTTGTGCCCCAAACCTGTCAAGGGACGGATCCATCACAACCCTTGTACATGGACAGACACTAGTGTACCTGTGACGCTGGGGCGGTCTTGGGGCTATTCACTGCCGGAGAAGGATAGGCGGTGGGTTGAAGTCTAATCTCTTCAGCAACAGGCAAACCCTAGATCTACCTGGATGGACGCGTGCAACGTATCTGTACATCTTTGGGCAAGGAACGAGGAGCCAACCTTACTGCATAGAACCTGCCATGGGTGTGAGCCCCAAAAATAAGGGACAAGCCATCGCTCGGGTTTCTATTGAAGCCCCAGCGGAAGTCGTACGCAGGCCCGTCCAAAGAAGGCACCGCCAACATTTCGAGAAGCAGCCCAAGACTTTAGCCTTCTTCCAATGCCTCCTTGACTCTACGCTTCACAGCCAATGTACCGCGGAACCTAAGCGAAACGCCAATTTTTGCCAACTCGCGGCTCATTTCTAGGGACTTCAAATGCTCTCGAGTAGGTGGTGCAGGACAGCCACTGGGAGTCGTATGCGGCATGGTCGTCTCAATCAATCGAGCATTCGGGCCAAATGGGCGATTACCTCACATCTTCGGTGTAGAGGCTCTTTACCGAACCCACCTCACCATTATTACAATCCCGTCTGAAACTGGGATAATAAGTGAGATCAGCATTGAATGCCGCTTTCCCCCAGCCGTGAGCCGTACCAACACGATGCGGAAAATGGCGCGGCTATGTTCAGGGGTTGTTGAGAAATACCAGTGTACGGGGTACTTAGAGACTTGGAGGGCGGAGGGATCGAGAACCAATGGAGAAAGCAGACTCGATCTTGGACGAGTTGGTGTTCCTTCCTACTCGTGGCTGATTCCGTCTCAAGAGGGGCAATGGCAGTATCCATCAATGTGTGTACCTTCCATAATTCCGCGCCCTCGTCCGAGTTGCCGCAGCGCAACTCACCTAATCCCACACTCGCTTGAGGGCGACATGGCGGAGACGAGTTGATCAATGGGGCTAGCACAAAGGGGCGGCCCGGGCGACGCGCGCATAGACAGAAGATGGACAAACCAAAAAGATTTTTTATTTTTTATTTTCCCTTTCCCACAAGCCTCGCGCACAGATTCAGCCAGTTCCCGAGTCTTTCAAGATTGGGGTCAAGTCCAACCGATGAGTCTGGGGGTGTGACCTTAACACAGGTTGCTGCAACCTGAGCCGGAGGGGTTCACGGCCAACGCAAACGAAAATCGATGCCTGCATTGTGTGGATGGGAGGTTATGGCCTCGCTAACCGATCAAGGAACTTGCTCCGTCTCGTTACATGAATAAACGATTAGGGAAGACCGAGGAAGCCCCATCGCGTGGAGGTTACGATCAATAGCCCCTGCGAAAGGGCCCTCCACCTCCCCCTTTTCTCCCACCCACTTGAACGGAGAGAAAAACTACAAGGAGCAAGTCGCAAGTCTAGAACGCGAAGTTTGTATGACCCCATCAACCGGCCCAGCATACATCAGTTCCGAGTTCCGCTTAGTCCTAAACGCCCAGAAATCACCCCAAGTCAATAGTGAAGGGAAGGGCAAGCCTGTTACATTATACCGAGAGAGGGGAGAGAGAGGGAGGGAGGGAAAACCAACCCCCTAAAAGAAAAAAACCTTGCGGGTTGGGAAAAGGCGTCCTGGGTCTTATCGAAGCGTCATTACATTTTTATGCAGGCCTGACTTGAGTGCAAGTCTACACTTTCCCTACCTACTAGCGGGATGACATCGACGATCTCTCAGACTGATGAGGATGCGGCCGGGTCCCGAGCAAGCGGGGACCCATTTTACCCATCAACGAGACCCAAGTGTCAGTGCCAGAAAACAACAAATGACTGAAAGATGTGAGCAAAGGCTCCTGTGCTGTACCATCTGAAAGATATTAATTGACACGATTTCAGTTCGCTGATCCCTGCCAATTGGGTTGACAGGGGTTGTGGCGGAACCACATGTCTCAATCCCGGGCGCTGTGGGAAGAACAGTGTTGCATGCACAAAGGGTGCTGCCATGGATAGGCTCGGTCGGTAGATTCACACAGAAGAGTACAAGAATAGCAACCCTTCGTGGAGGTTCAATTCTCGAACCCCATCTGGCCCATCCATCAATTGATCCCTCCCTTTTGAACCACAGGGGTTGACCGTTCCTAGCATCGCGTGGGAGGGACGATGAGATGATAACTATTACGGAGGCGTCCGTGACATCACAGTGGCATGATGGCTCCTTGGGGACAGGGCCCTTTCTGGAATAGTTGAATTTTGTCATTTGACAGGTCCGAAAATGAAAGAGGAAAAAGGGGAGGGGAGAGAGCGGCGGGGAAGAGAAAAAAACGCGAAAGGGCGAGAAGGGGGTGAAGGGACACAAAGCCCCACGCTTCGTTGGATATTCAGTGTGCTCATGAACATCACTTTCTCTCCAAGATGGCCGCAGTCTCACAAGTCCCAGGCTCAAGCAGAGTATTACAACTGCCATCAAATTGATCGGCGGTGGAAAAGCAAAGCATGAC